CACTATGCTCTTTTAGTTGTATTTTTTTCTATGCAATTTTTAGTTGTATTTTTTTCTATGCTATTTTTAGTTGTATTTTTTCTACTTCATCATCGTTCAGCATCGTTTTGGGCAAACCGTGATTTTTCTTGTTAGAGTTGCGAAGAAATGATAATCGTGTTTGCTGTAATGTTGCGAATTACAATATCGCGATTGTCTTTAGCAATTTTGATTGTGAATTTTTAAAGTTGTCTTAGAGTTATACATAATTAGAGAGAGTCATTGTAAGATTACAGAGTCATTGCTTTTAATTAATTTCAGAATGTTGAAATATTTGAAGTAGTTTTTTGTTCATACAGTAACTTTTGTTTGTTTGTAACAATTTTCATTGAATTTGGTTTTATAGTTAGTGTCGCGACATTATTTCATCGCGATTTCCAGTTACTTTTATTCTTAGTGTTGCGATATTGTTCCATCGCGATTTTCAATTATTTCTCTTCTTGTTAGTGTTGCGATAATTAATGATTATGATCGCGTTTCTTGAAGTAGTGTTGCGGTTACAAAATGCCCAAATTCTTCCACTGGATTCGTGGAAGGCTGTTCTTGCTCCTGGATTACCTAGTGCAACTACAAGAGCTGTACAAAGGTGGTCATACATCAGCAACCTCCAGCATTGGTTGCACTGGACGCGTTGCAATTAATGTTGCGTATTTCTGAAGATGAATGCATAGATTAATAGTGTTGCGTACTTACTTTCGGAATATTAAAATACTTTTGATAAAATTTATTTGAGTTGATAGGTTTTTTAATGTTTTATTAATAACTTTAGAATTTTAATTTATACTATTATGTGAAAGACACTCGTAAAAAACTATCATAATTTCGTAAAACATAGATGGAGCTGTTTGTGATATATAATAGAATGATTTCGGTTAGTTACTAGCTTCACATTTCGATATTGAAAATTGACAACACTGTAATGGATTTCAGAAATCATATTTCTGGCGCATTCACTACTTGACCAACTTCGAACGTTTTATTTGCTGTAGTTCTCCAATTTACCGTTGTTTAAGCATAGAGCGCGCTATGTCGGTATTTCAGAACATACAAAATCCCATAAGATGCAAGTAACGCTCTCACCTGTGTAAAGTCTTAATCGACTGTTCGAAAGATCGCGCCACTGCTGTACGCCCAATAAATTTAAAATCACGATCGCGTACTGAAATTATTAATGTTTTTGTAGCACTTTCAAAGATAAAACACTTGATTTCCGGTATGAAGTTTATTTCCAAATAATACATTAATAATGCAGTAATCTCTAGAACCATAAAAATATTCATCATACAAAAGAATTCTTAACATTCGTACTCCTTTTACGCAAATTTAACGTTGAATACTTTTCTTCCGTAGGTTGCCATTCATTATCATATACTGGATGTACTACACTCGTATCATAATTATTCGCTACATAATTTGTTGAAGCAACATGCTCATTATCCACGTAATTAACAACTGGCTTCGAATCAGTCACATAATCTCTCGAATCATCACTCTGATAAGGATTGGTTTCGATGGTATAGGTATCAGATTCTGAGCGCAATAACGGTTCCATTTCTTTATCGTCCTCCACATTAGTGGCATTGTTAGTCAAATATTGGTGCTTCCCTAGTTCCTCGCGATTGCTGTAATTCCAGTCTGAACGCGTAAAGTTAGAATTAATAAAAGGATATCTGTAACTATGATAATTAATAGATTTCATCCTCGGTGCAAATTGTTCTGCGTTAAGGGATGAATTTTTCGACGTCATGGTATGTTCTGCTTTCTCAAGTTCGGTTGTTATAAATCGTTTTCCAAAACTGCGACCCCAACCACCACCACCACCTGACGGTGGACCGTAGCTCGAAGGTGGTGGAGCACCATAATCACCACCTCCCCCTCCACCGTAACCACCGCCGCCTCCTCCACCATAACCACCGCCACCTCCTCCACCATAACCACCTCCACCTCCTCCACCATAACCACCTCCTCCGCCTCCGCCTCCAGCTTTTGTTAGAAGGACGATCTCTTTGTATTGACCTGAAAATATTAAAATAATATTGCATTCAATTCGTATCCGTATTTTCATCAATACTGATTGAAAACATCAATAATTTATGATATCATTACCTCCTCCACCACCGTGGCCTCCTCCACCGCCTCCTCCTTTCATGTACTTTTGCATCAACATTGCCATGGATACCATTAAAGACATGCCAGCCATCATCATACCTTTCATCGTTGCAACTCCTGATTTTTATAAATTTAATTAGGTATTTTGAAGTGTCGTAAAGAAATAATAATAACAGAATAATAATTCGTGCGTTTACCCATCAATTTCATTTTGAGCATCATAAGTCCAGCCATCATCATCGTTTTACATTTGCCACCTTTGCTTTTGCCTCCTTTATCTCCGCCACCTTTTTTACCTCGTCCTAAAGGACATTTTAACTCATTAAGAATGAAGCAAATATTCACAACAGTGTTATAAATATTTCAGTATCTTGAAGTTTCATTGATCACGGAAGAAGGTTAAATCTTCTTTTGATTGTCATTTCCGTAATTGTACTCTACAATTTTACAAACCTTCAAAACCAGGAGTTTCGTCAAACATAACATCTATTTGATTCTTTTCTTGTTTTCCGTTCCATCTTGGTAGTGTAATTCTCAAAACGAACGTATCAAAGAAATCGTTGATACTTCGTTCTATAGCATCATTGCTATCATTCGCGAATCTACGATCGTTAATCACTCTAGTTTTTACTAGTTTAACATTTTGACCTAGTAAATAAATCTCGTTCAAGTCCCTAATAGACTCCAGGAATCGACCAAGACGTTTCTTCGCGCAGATTAACGAGAGATCGATGACGCAGCGGCTTATGTCTGTTGTTGGGAACTCCGGGAAGCTATCGTCTTTCGCAGAATCGTTTTTCAACGACGGTATCACTCGAATATCCACTCTGAATCCGTTTTTCCGGAAGTCGAACAATTGTCGACCGGTGTTACTAAAAATTTTAACGTTCATCAACAACAGTAAACTACCGCAGAAATATCAATTATCAAAATTAGATCAATCATCATATTAGCCAATGATTTGACAAAAATCGTATTTCTCGACTAGTGAATTTCTCTAATTAGTTCATAGAACCTACTGCATTCAGAGTATGCAAAATTGTTTTATTTAATAATTTATTTCTGCAATTTCTTCACTCATCGAAAACTACGTAATACCGTAATGATAATAAAACGAAAGGAACGATTACAAAATAAATGTCACAGTACTATTGACGACCGGTGGTTCCAACAATCCCATAAGGATCCACGTCAACGTTTCCATCCGTGTACGTTTCATTGTTGACTTGACTATGAACTTGTTCGACGATCGAGAGAACTAGAACCACGATGAATATCGACCTGCGCACTATGTGAACGACCTTCAACGTTGACATCGCTCGACAAGCGATGATCGATTTCACACTGTATCCTCGACAAAGACTGACTTCCGTCAGATCGTAATCGCTTAAATACGATAAGATTTATGTCACTCGTTGGATTTTTTCAACGACTCGTCACGATTGTCATTTACCAGTGCACCAGGAATATAATGTAATGATACGTTTGCTTCGTAGCTTAGTCTCGTCGTGATTCCTAGGTTGCGGAACAGAGTACCGCCTTTCGAGATTTCAGGGACAACTCAATGTTTTCCTACGAGAGTAATAATGAGGATTCGAGAGCTGAAGTACAAATTTTCTGTCAGCTTCTTCAGAGCTGTTAGCAGTTTCCGAATCATAGTTGAGAGTCTGTTTATATCGATTTATAACAGATTTTAAGTAGAAATTTATTTTTTTCGCAAAATATTTTATCGAGTACCTTATTCGATGTTCTCAATGTATATTGTATAGTATATTTTATTTGTTACATATTTTGTATTATAAATGTATTCGTTTGTGTTATATTTTATTTATTTATAAAATCCATAAATTTTTGTGCCGTGTATATTAATAAATCTCAAGATTGAATTCCAGTTCAATCGGAATTTCTAAGAGATTTCTATCGTTTCACGCCAGGTAACACCAGCGTGTTAAAAAATTCCTCCCCATTCCTTCTTGATGAAGAACAGTCGGTTACACCTGAGAAATCATAACCACGCGCACCTTGATGATCGGAGGATGTTCAGGAAGCCTAATGTATGCGTCTAGAAAGGGACGACCTTGTTTCGCATGAATTTAATTGAGTGGTACCATTCGTCTTGCAATTACGATCCGCCGTATATAATTTTCCTCGCAGCGGACCGAGGCGAGGAGCAGCTTTTACTTCGCGTAAATTGCTATTCGATTTGATTCATCTTTTCTCCGACTATAATCAATCATTATATACTGGATCAAACGGAAAAAAGAAAGAAAACGTTAAAAGACTCACAGTTGATTCTTTTTTACGAGTGTAAAACGAACGTGTAAGAACGAATTGACCAGGCAACTTCTTAAAAATATGATTTTATTAAACTTTACAATGCGTATAAATGCATATAAATAACAAAGGGGAGGAATCATGTACACGATTCGATGATGGTCCATGTGCAACGACGCTCAGCTCGAGCCGTGTGACCGTGGGTAATAGAGGTACGTGGGAGCATGCTTCGCAAATAAATACCTACGAATCTACGGATATAACGTGATGATGGTGATGGAGAAATGGAGGACGATGAAATGAGACCAGGCGAGACGACGGAAGTGACGGATAGAGGCGCGAGCAACAAGAAAGCGAAACGATCGCGAGTAACGCGAGGAAAAAGTAGGAGGAACAGAGTGGAGAGCACGATGAAGAGAAGGTGGAGCAGCAGCTAGATACAGATGGAAGGAAACTGTGAGGTGTGAGAAAAAAGATAAACGGAAACAAAGTGGACTCGGTGAGGTAGAGACGTGCTACTAGATCTCTCACGTGCCACCAGCTGCTCCTCGCTGGCGGCTTCTCTAATCACGAGTTCATTAATTTTGCCGGAACAACGATCGACGGTCCCTCGCGTTGCCATATTTCAAAACGGCCTGCTGGACGCTGTCGTGAATCGTGTCTAGAGATCTTCCGTATCCAGAATGTCCATAGCCATGGCCGTGATGCTCCTCGGAGCTGTGAGTGTGAGAACTCGAGTATACGGGTTTACTGACAATTTCATAAGTAGTCTTCTTCTCGCCACCACTAGCCAAAGATTTCAAGCCAACAATGGCTGACAGCATGAGGGCCATCAGTCCGGTCATCAGAGCTTTACCGGCGAGTAGAGCAAGAGCACCGAAGCCGATAGCGCCAAGGGTACCTTTCATCATCATCAGGCCAGCCATCATGCCATTCATACCGCCCTTCTCCTTCTTACGTCCTGTGTGACGATCAATGAAATCGTTATCGCATTCCCATTCACGTTAATCTCAACCTCTCCCTGAAAAAGGAGATTAATATCTTACCAGTTCCGACACTACTCTGCCCGCCACCAAGTCCAAGCTGGGCCAGCGTCTCTTCGTTGAAGTTCCTAGCAGCCTCGAAGGTCCTCGGATCGAACAGTTTGATGGATATCGAGTGGCTGTGTAGGTAGCTTCCGACCTTGTGAATCAGATACGCGTCCAGCCTCTTCTCCACGTCGTTGGGGAAATCTCTAGCCAGATTGGCGACCACCTCGGAAGCCGGCATACTGGCGGAACCGTTTTCCTTGATCACCGACACTCCCGGCAGGATGCTGATGTCCTCCTGTTCGGATAATCTATCTAGGAAGGACACCACGTCTAGCTTGAGACAAGTGGCACTGTAGGATTTGCCACAGTCCTTGCTCAAAGTAGACGCCAAGCTCTCCGGGGATTCCTCGACCATTTGCTTCGAGGTACGTCTTTCAATCTCACCGACGACTGAACCGACGAGAAGAAAAGGAAGCAGCAACAGCAGCAGCGTCTGCTGACGATTGACCGACGACTGACCGAGTACCGCGAATCCGTTCATCGTGTTGCGCGTATTTTACAAGACGTTTCTACAGAGTCGGACGCGAGTAACCCTGATCTTAGAGAGATCCTGTTGGAGAACGTCCGGCGGCTGGTGGATAGGCAGCGCGAATCGAACTTGTTGCTCGAGATTGAGATTCGATTAAGCTGGCTGAAGCTGACAGACGAGACGCGTACTCTACACTGGACATACCCTCGGATAGTTGCAGTATATATAGAGCGAGTCACCGGGTAGTCCTTTTTCCTTTTTGCCTTTCGGCCTTTCCATATACATTCTCCTAAGTCGAGAGCAACGCGTCGGCGACGGTGTACTCTCTTCTTTCGCGGTGGTCCAAGAGAGGAGGCGAGGGGCCCTCTCGCGGCCACCACCGCCGCCGCCGCCACCGCCGCCTTGACGGTACGTGGCGAGAGGGAGCGTCAAATAGAGCGGAGAATTCGAATCTGTCGAATTTACGAGAGAAAAAGGATACCGGAGACGCTCTAATGAGAGCGAAGCCTCGTGATCTTGGACGCCCATTCAATCCTCGCTACTGGGAGCATCTCATTGAATCTCGTTCGATGATCGTTTTTGGTGCTACGCGACCGGACTTTCTTCGATATCGATTCCGTTTGCTCTAGAAATCGTTCTCCTCGCAATCTGAATTCAGAAAATACGCGTATCACGCGGATTACAGAAATTGTAGATCACAGCAGTTGTTGAGAGACGAAATGAGCTTTCTGCCTGTATTGACAGCTCTGTCCTGTTCAATTATACCCGATGTCGAGCAAGTGGACATCTATATTAACATTTAATTTCTAGTTTCACTCGGTAAAAGTAGAACCTGAACGTATTTCTATCCGTTTACTTCAGCAGATAATTGCAACAACGATTCTCGTTGTGTTTAAACATAACAATCGATCGAATCGGCTGCGATCACGGATCGATTGTGGCCGATGGATGACAGCGACGACCCGGCGTGTACCACTTTCGATCTCGACGACGAAATCGAGGCGGTCGACGGCCGTCTATCCGATAAAATCGATGCCTCCCCGCTCGGATGAAGCAAACGAAGCGTCTGAATATTTCGGGAAATTATAAAGGGAGAGGGAAATGGCGAAGCGTTATTTCCCTCGACTGAGCGAAACGAAACGGAGAAGGCCTACTTTAAATTAGCCCAGTTAACTCGCGGGAGATCGGATTTTCGCGCGCCACGCTCGAACGACGACGGCTGCAGACGGATCTGACGGCGAGAAAGTGCGCGGCCAATTTTCACGGGATCCACTCGCGAGCGCAGCATTTTACGTTTAATACGCTTTGGAAATCGCGCGGTCGTTTACGCATCCGTGGAACTCGCATGACTTCGTATGGCTCGACACTCTGGCCGATTTTTATCGAATTTTTGTGAATCAATCGATTTCAATGAGAAATTGGACGATTTTGGAAGAGGAAGAATTGAAAATAAAGAAAGTAAAGTATAGTAGAGTAGATACGTTGTATTCATTTGAAAAAAATCCATAATTTGAAGAAAAATAAAATTTTCTCGATTTGTGTCCCGAGAATTTTTCGGTATCTTTTGTCTTTGAAACATTGAAGGAACTGTGGCTAAATTAATTCTCAAACAGTGGTACTCTTACATCAGAATGAAAATATACTTACATAATCTTTCGTCTTGTGATTTTCTTCTCAATCTTTAAACAGTCAATGTCAGATGTAAATCATTGTATAAAATTTGTATCTATTAATCTTCATAGGACTGGAATTTGCTTTTTCTTTCAAATCGAAACCTACCACGAATGTAACTCAAAATTATAACTCAAAGCTTTACGATTTTTTTCAATTATTACAAATAACATGTTACATCGTGTCAGATGTAAAGCATTAAAAATAAAGCATTATATATATATATATATATATATATATATATATAGTTTGTGTTTATTAATCTTCAGTTTGAAGACTGAAACATGAAAATTCAAATTCATATCCCATAAGACTGCAATTTGCTTTTTCTTTCAAATCGAAACCACTTCCTACCACGAACCAATCGAACCAATTCCTACTACGAGTGTAACTCGATATTATAACTCAAAGAGTTAATTAAGTGCCAATGATTGAGGATTACTGCTCCAACTAACTATTGACAATCAATTTTAATAATGGCACCCGGAGGTTTGCTGGAATTTCACCAAACGTTTAGAGCTGGCATGCAAGTTCGAGAAAAATTCCAAGCTGCGTACTCGATTCGAAATTATTCACCGTCAATAGGACGTGCAGTTTTGAGCGTGGTAAATTCGCGGCGCGAACACCGCGTTAGGCGTTCGTGGATGTTTCGTACAACCGAGACGAAGCGCTCGCAGGTGTGTCAGAAAGAAGAGGATTAGCCTTCTTCTCCAGATATCTGTTTCACCACTTGTTACTTCCTTTTACCGCAACGCCTTCCTTTCGTTAATAATCGCACCATCTCCACTGAGCTACTCTTCTTTCGATCCAGCGCAGCAGCGTACAGTCAGCCAGTCGTTCGATCCTTGGCGATCGTTGACCATCGAATCCTAGAAATTCCCACGATATCCCAGTACTTTTTCCCCAATTAATCTGTCAGACGAATGAAAAGTGAAACTTTATTTATAAGTTAGAGACGAGACAATTGGTTCGAGAGTTTGCTGCGACGTGGATCGATTAGATTCGATTCGATTTTCGTCGGTCGATCCTGGTCACGCCTTTCCAATTGTCGACAGGAATCGATCGATCGCACGCAAACTGTGCCGCAAGTGAAACGTGAATGGGCGCTCTTGTTCGGCCATAACTGTTCCTCCGTATACTGTTACTGTTACTATTCGTCCACTATATTTGATACGTAATTTGAGCGAGCGTTCGAGCCTCGGCCGAATTTCATCGCATATCATTAAATCTTCCTTCAACGTTCTACCGTTGGAAAGTCACAATGAGCTAAATGCTGCCGCGAAGAGAAATATCTTTAACGACATTTCCTACTCCACTTTCCAGAATCCGCGAAAGCGAAAATTAAAGCCATTTGGCGATTTTACGATTCGCAATTTCATAAGTGCCCTCAATCATCTGTCCGAGCGTTTCTCCAGCCATTATCCGAATGATATAACAGAATTCACCAGTTCTCATCCGCTTGAGTTGGTAAAATGAAACGTGTTGCAACGAACTGCTCGATGATGATCGATCGGGACTTGAGGAAGGATTTCAGCTTCGTAGCAATTAACGCTAAAAATCAGAGGAAACAACGAATCAGAGACGATCTAACTGCTCATTCAAAGACTCTTCAATTTTATTCTACTGTTCCTGTCTGTGTCACGCAATAAGACTTTATTCTCTATTTCTTCTTGCGACTCTTCTGTTCTCGTGTTCAGTATTTGATCCAACATTTGACTGTTATACGTTAGAAACGGTGAAACGGTAATTGCACCGACATCCTCCGATTGATCGCGCGCAGTTAGCCCATTTTCGCTTCGAAAATCGAGATGAACGAGTCGAGAAAGTTGCTCCAAGTCGCAAATGCTCAAGGATCGCAAGAATGATGCCCGAAGATCGACTGGCGATCCTCGAAAGAGACGGTGCAGTCGTTCCCTGGACAGAATCGCTGGTGAACGGCGCGTTATTTGGGAAACCGTGTCGCTCGGAACGAGGAGCGGCCGCCTGTCTGACCATGACGGATCGTTCCACTGTCCTGCGCGAAATTGGGCAACTTCTCCATCTGCAAGTCTCCCAATAAATTTGGAACTTTCAGTGTTGATGGTACATTTATACTCTCTTGTTTTCTTTTTTTTTTTTTTACTTTTATTTAGAAATATTTTCGTAGGAAGAGCATACCATATATTATTTATAGGAAGTATTTTCTACCTTTATTTAGAAATATTTTCGTAAATTTATACAGGAAATATACAGGAGCTTTGATTTCTCTGAAAATATACAGGAGCTTTGATTTCTCTGAAAGCTTTCGAATATTGGAAATTTGCAGATTCGAGAACCCTCAACGTTGAAAAATATTTGCAATTATGAAAGCTTGCAACTCGTCGAACTCACACCAGATCGACGTTCCAATTTGAATATGGATTAATTGAAGCTGTAATTCACTTTTACACCGAAGGAAATGGATTCGTTACGGTTTCCACGAATATTGCGCAGTTTTAGTCTACATCTTCTCGGGTGATAGTCGAGCATCCGGTTAGTTTAATGTTCTCGAATTGGTTGCGCGAATACGTTCGCGTTATCGAGTCGTGTGTCCGGTGGGACGAGAAAAAAACCAAGATGCATTGACGACTGATAGGTACTGGCCGAGTGGCTGCGTAGACACCGTTAATTCGAGAACGAGCATCCGTTATGTGCTGAAAATGCATCGTGCACGATCATACTTTCGCATTTTTTTCAAGGCCAATTCGCAAACGTCGTGTATTTTTAATTATAATCCATCTTTATAGGTGGAGTTCTCGTGAAATCTGTTGGATTTTGAGAAAGTTGGTTACGAGCATTTAATTTGCAACTATTTGTGCTCCAATTTATAAAATGATAAGACGATGAATATATCGACTTAATTTATGAAAAATGGAGTTCGTTAGATTATATTTTAGATAGTTCTTTCGCTCCATTCATCGAAGAATATATCGTTGCCTTAACAGCTATGTATATAATTCAAATGACACGTGAGATCTACGCGAAAAGTATTTCTCGAAATTAACGAAACGTAGTCAACAAAGTTCATATCGACATTTGAAGTCACAAAAATATTTCAATCGTCTCTAAAAATCAAAACAAAGAAGAAAGGATACAAACGCATTCTTCAATAAAAAGATCTAACAATGTCCTGACAAATTCCCTGACAAAAATAGATCAACTGTTTGAATAAAACAGTTCTTTTCTACCGAAGAAGATATTCCATACGTTCCTATCAATTTCTCAAAATGTTTCTAAAGAACTCCAAACGAAACGCCGATACTGATCAACTATATCGGTCGACGATACCCTAGCCGAGCATTCCACTCATCAACTTCTTCTCTCCTCGAGTTCTCCAGGCTCTTGACAGTGCTGTCCTCTTGATCGGCTCGTATATACCCAAGGTTTCAGCCCTCTCCACGCGACATAATCACAAACGATACCGTTACTCGCCGCTTCCCCTGAAGAGGGGCAACGATCACCCAGCAAAGAGGGGAGGATCGTGAAAGGTGGGAGTGCACGTGGAGGCAATGACCCAGTGCCCTTGATCCTGAGAATTCACCGACGGGGGAAGCAGGCACGACCAATCGTCGGCTCGGCCACTTTTCCCACCTTTCCTGTCACAGTGACCCCGATTCCTTCCTGTTCCTACTCCCCCTACCTGCTCCTTCCTCTCTACCTGTCGTGCTCTCTCCGCCGAGCGCGTTGCACGACTTTTATTTGGGTCGTTAGCCTTCCCCTACGCCGTAGTAACCTGCTTCTCTCGGCGATTATAGATTTCCAATTATTTATTTATTTATTTATTTATTTTATTACTTTATTTGCCGATGGCGATCCACTCGAGCGGAGAACGGACGGAAAGGAAAGTGCTTCCTCGGTATGTTTTGACGGATGACGAACCCAAAGACACATCGTCGGAATTCTATGAACGAGAATAACGACGAACAACACGAAGGGCGTGAAGGAGATTGAAAGAGAAGACAAGTAAAATTGTAGAAAAGAGAGAACGTGATGTCTTTATTTGATAGAAACGCGAGTAACAGAGAAGAGGCAATAAATAAAATGAAGGGATGAGAGGATGAATCTTAATTGGAAGATGGAATTTTTAAGGGATGTCTTGGTAGGGATACTGTTCGGGTCCGAATTCTGGAGCCCAGCCTCTGTACGGTTGATTCACCTCTTCCTGCGACCTGTGCCAGTGATCGTGGTGAATTTCAGGTTTCACAATTCCGTAAGTGACCCTGGCAGGAGGGGGTGGTGGTGTTAGCAGAGCCTTCAGGGCGACCGCTCCGGAGAGAAGCAGGGACAGTAGACCCGCACCGAGTCCCTTGATGCCCACCAGACCTATCAGAGTGATGACGATGGGCAGGACGATCAGGGCTTTGAGTTTCAGGGCCAGTAGAATCGGCAACGCGATCTTCTTCAACCTGGTTCGAGCTGCAACGAAAGTGAAATACAAAAATGCAAAATTGAAAATCCTACGAAAAATCTCGCGAATGTTACCAACAAATTAAGAATTAAGACAGAACAAAGAAGCGTCTATTAACGCGTGTCAATGAATTCGATGGATCCAATGGATCATCAAGTGAAATTCATCAAGGATCCGGAAGGGGTATCTAGGAGTCTCTAATGGCCACTTATCGGCTATCTACTTTCTTCGACATGTAGCACTCTCGTTCAAGGTCCTCGTTCGTCGTCTTCTCTCTTCTCTCGTCGTTCGTCCCAGAAACCCGGAATCCCATCGGCGATCCACTTTGTCCCGACCCCCCTGCCACAGCCACGTTTTCGCGGATACGAGCGAAGTGGGACGCTTGTACGCGGCTTTCTATGCTCGTCACGCTGCTACTTTTCCCCCCTTCTCCAACCGTTCGTCGCGTTCCAAACATTTACTTCTCCCGCGGCTCGAAGATCGCGTCTCGTCGACTCGATTCCGGGGAGAAGGAAAAAAAGAAAAAAAGAATCTGTGGAAACTTCGAGCGCTGCGGAAAAGAGGCCGAGAAAAAGAGGAGCAGGCAGAGGTGTCAGTCGAGGTCGGCGAAGCCAATCGGAAGCCTGGCTATCGGAAGTTCCACTTTACGGCCAATCGTCCCTCGTCTTCGTGCCTTACTTCCATCGTATTGGAGAGAGTTTAGAAAGGCGAGATACTATAAGTTCGTCGCTGTGGATCGGTTCGTTCACAGCGCAGACGTAGACGCGTCCAAGATCTAGCCATCTGAACACCGTTGAACCGGTAACAAGTGCCCTACACCATGGAATTTAGCTCCTCGAGATCGCTTTGGGAGATCATGAATATTTACCATTTCTTTCGATGTATTACGCTTTGGCATTCGAGACGGTGAGTCTCGAATATGCTGAAGACGTCAATGTAGGCTAAAGGAGAGATCGAAGGAATACTTGTCGTAGAAAGTTCCTTCGAGCTTTCTTCGCGATGAATTCTTGCTCCTTCTGTTTACGATTATTGATTGATTCTTTTTTTCACCGAGACTCTGGTGCATGGTAAACAATTACGTAGCACATGCATCGAAAGTCAATCCACGCTTGAAATCTTCGAAGCTACAGTTACGTACAGAGTCAATTGAATACTTTTAATGAACTTTACATTTGCTACTCTATGCGTGCATAGTGGAGTGTGAAAACTATTCTTTAAGTAAAGAGAATCGTGTTCTAAGTTTAGTGTTAATTTCGAAAATTAAGTTTGAAAATGAAATGACTTTCGAAGGTTCCAAATTTTTTTCAGTATCATTTCCGATTTTTAGATTTCATTAAGAGCTTAAAAATGAAACGACTCTTGTACACCGCAAATTTCTTCGGCATTGTTTCACAGTTTAAAAATAAAATGTCTGTCGAAGAAATTTCTTCAATCGAATCGAAAATGTTGATACCTGAATTTGTTGATACCTCCGATATGAATTTTACCTTCGGAAGCTCCCGTTGTTAAGCTTCTAAGCTCAATCGCCACATCTTTCTGACCCAAAGCTCTTCCGAACATGTCTGCGGAAGATCCATCGCTAGGCAGACGCACGTGAATTCTCCTGCTCCTCAAGAACTCTTCGATCTTGCTCACTAAAGGATCCTGGCTAGCTCTTCCAGCAGTCTCTTCATCCTCCGCAAATTGGACCTTCTCCAAAGTGATCATATCACCATAGATCTTGATTGTGTCCCTTTTATTCAGTTCGTTCATCGTTTCGGTTAGCCTGATCTCCGCGCTCCTGGCGTCCTCAGCCATGACAAACGCAACGGGAAACAACGCCAATATCGCGATCAATGGCTTCATTGTGATGATCGATTCGCTATCGAACAGGACGGACACTAGGATTTTGACTGTTTGCCCCGGGGGCAATTTTTCTTTTATACTTCGGCTGGTGATCGATGGTGGGGCCAGTTTGAACCATTTGGCAAGCAACGTGCAAGGGCCGCGGTGTCGAGAATTTTAATTTCTACGTCTCACAGCCTGGCCACTGTACAACGCGTGCGTACGTCCCCGTGACGTATCGTCTACCGATAGAAACTAATTTTCCTTTTCAGCGGAATCACTTTCGAACGGTCTATCTGTCTACGGCCTGTGTTTAAATTAGGCTGTGATCGATCGAAAGTAAATCAATCGGAATACCAATTTTATTGCTTTTCCAAATGGCAAAAGTTCGGCGTACCGAAACTGTCGAATATCAATTGTATTAGTTTTCTTTTTTTTTTCTTTTTTTGAATAGAGTTTGACAAGTGTTGTCTTTATCGTTTGAATTCGACGAAGAAAAGAATCGATGAAACAAGAGAATTAATTTCATTACATTTCACATTAGCGATAAGAGTACAAGAGCGACTGTTTACTTTTAGAGAAACATAAATGCAAAATAGAGATTCTTAGAAACTTTGTGGATGAATGACACGTCGAGTGGAACTGAGAGTGTCCTTAGAGCTGTTGAAAAGCGGGAAATGTCGATGGTTTGTCGAAGGTGCGACTGATTTGCTTTAGAGAAAACTAGGAAACGATCTCTCAAGCAACTTATTTACCACGGAGAAAAGTGGGAAATTAGTAGCGTGATTTATTCGAAAAGTGGGACCAACCCGTGGAGCTCTTGTTCCCCCTGTTCGACCTGTAAAACTCTCTCTGTAAATTCCGTTCGCACGAAACGGCAGAGAACAGCGCCGTACTGGAACGTCGCGTTTTCGTACTTCTAATAGAAGAATAAAAGTGAGGCGCCGAAACGAGCGTTCCTTTGTCCAGTTGGCACAATGGGCGAGTTTCCGCAAGCAGAATCCGCGCTTTCAATCGAGTGGCTCCGACAATGACTCCCGTGTGTTCCTTCGCGGTACATCATGTTCACGAGACGGTTGGTAATAAGTTTCTCGGTGAAAATTAGATTTCCGTGCCTGTTGGCGCGTGTGACACAGAACCGCATGCAAAACCGACCGGCGTGTGTCCCGAATCTGTTTTCGGTCGGAAGCGAGGAGCGAAGGAGGGAAGAAAAGAGAGAATGAAATGGAACGATGGGCGAAGAACGAGGAGAGAGAAGGCGCGAAAATAGGGTACAACGAAGAGTGCGGTGGGAGTGCAAACGAAGCGCAGGTATGTCCGTTCGGAATGGCATATGAGCCTGACCGATTGCCGGTCCGATCTGCCAACATGTCGATATTTCGCGTGTCGCGCCAGGCAAACACTAATCACGTACCGAGCGTTTTCTATGCACCTTCGCGCCTCGCTGGCGCGTGCATAAATAATCTCTTCAAACTAGAAATCGTCCCTGCTTTCGACCTACCGGTGGCCGAAGAAAGGAAAACCGTGTCAAAACGATCAACTCCACCTTGAGTTTCACAATTGATAATCCAGCTACGCGATTACCAAAATCTCAAAATAAGTTTTTTAAAGGAATGATGCTCGTAACTGTATCACTTTCCTCTGCTGTTGCAATTTTGGAGTCTGTCGAGAATTTTCAATTTTCGAGTAATTCGAATGCAGAAAATATATGATAGTCAGATGATCTACAGTAATAGAAATAATTTATTAATTACAAAAGATTATTAATAATTTAGTCGATCCGTAAGTTATCCGTTTAAATATTAATCTAGCAGTCGAGAACAAGCCTAGAGTGCATTACACACACCAGACTCGGAATGTATGGCGTTTGGGTAGCCCAGATACTTTCATTCCCTATAAAACGTGGACTCGAGATCGTCGTCTTTTTTTTTTTTTTAATTGGTTTCGTTCGTGATTGGCGCTTGCGCCGAGTATGCCATCGAATGAGCATCCACTTTTTCGTTTTCAACGTCGAAGCTTCTCTTGTAGTAGCCCTGAGGTTGGACGCCTGTCGCGACATTGGCTGACCAGCCTTGGTTAGCGCTGTCAACCCATCCGGTCGATGGTTGAGTATTCTTGCTAAAGAAATTGGCGGCTCCAGCGCTATTACCGCCGAATAGTCTTTGGAAAGCCAACACTCCGGCTAACAGGAGGGCGATTTTCCCCACAAACAGAGCCTTCGTGACCAGGAGACCGAGACCTCCGAGAAGAATTGGGATCAGAGCGAACAGTTTCACTCCTGCGGCGGCGATCAGAGGCAGTGCTATCTTCTTCATTTTGGCGCGACCTGGAAATAAAAGTTTACATAACAATACATGGAAATTAATTTGCGAGCAGAGGTACTTTTTATTTGGAGATTTGAAAGTTTGATTTTAATTTTTAAATCGAATCTTGAGAACCCAACAGAAAGAGATTGAAAAGTTTTCGTTCGATTTTATTTTAAATTAAATTAAAGCAATATTTAATGCGAAGATATTTAACTTGGAGAATAATAGATCGTCTGGGAGAGCAGGATTTTAAATTTTATCTGAACAGAAAACTCTGAGTAGCCAATTTTGATTACTCTCAGCTCAAGAATTGCCGAACAATCTAAAAGTAACCTTTTCTCCAAAAGATCCAGAATATATCCGAGAAATCGAACCTCGCGGTATTTGAAATGAAACATCGCTTCTTCCCCAAAATTTAATCAAACTAAAAACCAAACTAAACTTTGAAGAACCATTTAACGATCCAAGCATATTTATTCTAGTCTGTTAGCCAGGAGATCCTAAATGCCGCTAATTAATAGTCCCTGTTATCGGACTCAGTGAGATTTTTTTCTCTGTCCGAGAGGGGCAGTGTATGTATAATTTTAAAAGGAAAGCGAATGGAGGAGGTGGTGCGCGAGGAACGAGTTTATTCGGAACAGGTTGCCGCGGCGCGTATAGATATCACGAAGGTGAAAGGCTCGGCGAACAGTTTATTCGTTCATACCAGTGACGCGTCGGGGCGTCACTGGGGTGGGAAGGATTACGTAATGGGAGCGTCTCTATCATAGCGCGAGATAGAAAGTTACCTTCGTCAAGAGCGCGGGAGATTGAACCCTCCTCGGGCATGCTCAGCTTCAGACTGTGGGACTTCATGAACGATATGGCCGATTCGAACAACATAGTGGCGAGTTTGATGGCTCTGTCCGACGTGTCTCTCGGCAGTTCATTCATTATCTCGACCTCCGTCTTCAGATCTTTACCGCTGCGTTCAACTGTGGAGAAAAATGTGGTGTGTTATGTATTACAAGACCGAGCTGTTTGGAGGAGATTTTAGAAATTTCTAGAAAGTTGGTACATTCAAGTTTTGGGGAATTAAATTCTAATAGCAACTCTACGATGGATAAGAAATGAATATTGGAAAAATAAAATGTCAATGCTTGCAAGCCGCGCGATAAACTGACCCTATCAAGGGATGAAAATTTCAAGAATCAAACAACTTTGTTAAAGATTCATTTGGCGTTAACGCCATCGGGATTAGAGGGATTAAAATTTCGAGAACTAGTTAATGACGAGTTTAAGAGATTCTATAAACTTATAAAAAATTCGACTCACTTGGCGTTTCTCTCACAAACTTCACACCATCGACAATCTCGATATCACTAGACCTGGCAGCTCTATCCAAAGCGCTGACGGTCTTGACGAACACGCAGCTGAACAGTTCGTTCTCTTGCTCGAAGCAATCGAGATTCCTGTTCAATTGAACTTTGCTAGAATCCGGCATGGGCACTGCCATCGCGGACGCGGCAACAAGTCCAAAAATCACCAATTTGTTCATCTTATCTCCCTGGTCTAACTTGTCCAACCGATAATTATACGGAGATGGCGTTGAAAAGGATCGAGCACGTCCCTCGGAAAATTTTCGGAACAAAGTGTGATCTGACCCTGCGTAGCTTCTATCTTTATAGGTGTTCACCAGCTGGGACCCTCCCCAATATCCCCACTCTAACCGATGACGCATGTGACGACGACATGCGACCTAAGGCACACGAGGCATCATCGCTGGTACACGTCGTTACTCACCTCCCCGTTAGAAGAAACTTTCTTCAATAATTTTTTAAACAAACGACCACTTCCACGTTTCGGCGGAGTAGTTGAAACTGGGCGGATCTTACCGTAGACGATCGCTGATATCTGGTAGCCCGGCTAGATCTCAAGATTTAGGTTAGTAGGAAAAAACGTCTTGATGACCCGTCGATGCACTACCAATTTGGATGCATTCAAATCAATTAACGTCACACTGCGGATGGAAAGAATTTTAATCCTCTGAGAAAAAATTATTGCTTGATAATTGTTGATTAATTTTGGAAAATTATTGGATTACAGGGAAAATTTTATTCTATTGTCAAATTTTCCAGTCGGGGAAAATCGGGATTGTCATTTTTGCCCTTTAAATAATTCTGAGATCTTTTTCAAATTTACCTTCGTGAAATTGAAGTTTTCATTATTTTAGGATTATTTTTTTATTCTGTTGACAATCATAGTGTATCGTTGATAGATTACGTATCCTTCTGCGTGTCGAGAAACCTTAATCTTCTCAGGCATTCACTAAATTCTATTCTTTGAATATTGTACGATTGTACATAAATTTTTCACGATCGAGATCGATGCATTCAGATACTTCCACGTGTAATAAGCCGCTCACCTTGACCCACAGACACAGTCATTGGTCGTTCCAAGCTACGAATTGCGTCGTCTTGATATAACACCTACTCTAAACAGTTTCCCTCTTGTTGACACTCTCTATGATTTCTCCTTAATTTGCTCGCATAATCTCTTTGAAACGTGAATCGTCGGGTAAAAATCGTTCGCATGGAACATTGCGTTTCTAAAATTGTACCATTCGCAAATCGTCGAAGAAAATTCTACTTTCTCTGACACTGTTTGCTCTGTCAATAGCGCCGGGTACACCAAAACGCGGTTGAATGGACAGAGTAAAAATTACGACAGCTGTATTTCTTGTCAGTATTTCAATACCTGCATTTCACTTGCTTTTTTTCTTCTTTTTATTTTTGATATTGCTTTTCTCCTTTTCCTCGAAATAAATAAATGTCATTTATTAATTAGATGTCATGCCTAAGCATCCAGATAACTCTTTTTGTTTTTAATTTCTTTTTAATAAGGATTAACTGCGAATTTTTGTCCCGACAATGGACGCAAAAGTAGCTCAACCGATGTCATTCATTCGGCAAACAATGTCCAACAATGCGTACATCTCATCAGGATTGTTCTTTTTTTTTTCTTTCACGTAGCACGTGCCTTGGAATGGCAACTGCCTTGTTCGCGGGCGCCGCTCCATTGTCTCCGTTCCGGGTCTGTTTAAATATTTAACAGTCGCGCGGAACTTCGTCATCTCCGTGTTAACGGTATCCTTACGATGGATTTTCGTGATTAATTTTCTAGGTTACGCCTGGCCATGAAGTCTGTGACTTCCGATTGTCACAAAGAATCATTATCCCGATCGATTCAGGAAACGAATATAAGTAAATGGTACGATTATAGTACCATTATTAGAATATAATAATTAGATCGTTCTTTTATGTTATTTTGACTTTTATGTCCACTTTTTACTTATTTTTCCATTCTTTAAATCATTTTCTACTCAAGCGTAGCTATCTTTGATTGTTGAAAAATGTCTAGAATTTGAACAGAGAAATTTTCTCATAATGTGCAAATACTTTTCGTTTGCTGAAATTAAAATAATAAATATAACAATTCGAGAATAGTGTATATCTATCATTATTATATAGAACTTTTTCGCTTTTATTTGTCCAATTAATGTTCCGTAATTATTTTGAGCAATCATAGGAGCAATTTGAGCAATTATAGAAAATAGGAAAGAATAAAAGAATTGGAAATAGAAAAGAATTCTTTGAGACGTAAAGTGCATATATATAAAAATACAGTTGTTATTTCGATTAAAAATAATTCAAGCAATTGTAGAAAATAGGAAAGAATAGATCGTAAAAGGTACAAGTTTCAAAATGTTAATATCACGTGATAAACGGAGAAATTTCTTCGCGACTACTCACCTTGCTTTCGACGATGATTCAATTTCGACTGCTGTTGCGATCGTATTACTTTCTTCTGACTACATTACCGTTTCGTATAATTTTCCAACTTTCGATCGACACAGTTTAGCGAAACGTATGTTTGAAAGATTCTGCATACAATAGGAATCATTGGAAGTAAATATACTTCCTCAGAGGATTACTTTTCCACGAATTTTAAAGAGCAGTGCAATTTGAATATTTTGAAGTCGACAACCTGAATACTAGACTTGTCCGATTTAATATCGGTTCATTCTTTTCTCATCTTTATCATTTCCCAAGTTTTCTTAGATGTCTGTGATATCTTCTGTGCATATTCTTGAAAACGACATTTTTAAAGTAAAACTATGAAGTTGTAAAAATAAATTTGTAAGAATTTCGTAACGACAGCTACATATTAATAGAATTTACAGCTGAGCGAGGTTATAATTCTTGGAGTCGGAGATGAACTTTCACTCCGCGAGGAAGCGACGCAATTACGTAATGAAAAACGTGACGGATCAAAGCAATTAATTCTACCCATTGTTCGAGGGAATTCCCATGGAGTCAAGCATCGCTTGTAAACAAGAAAATGATTATTTTCTACCTTCGGAAAACACTCTCTACGACTCGCTTCGTTTCTTGTTCGCTAACTTCCCGGTTCCTTCCTTTTGCGTAACAGAATAATTAGCAAGTTTCATTTGTGTCAGTTCGAACGAGAAACGAGTTTTCATCGACTCCGGCTTGTTTGACAAACATGAACAATGATTCAGAATAAAATCGAAATTTAACTTTCTGAAAAACGAACGAATCGTAGGCGGGTTGAGGGGGTGAAATGAACAAGAGATTTAAAATTTTTCAATAATAATGGATCTTTACTTTCTTCTACGTTCTCTATAAAATTTGTAGGGCTCGGTGTCCATCACGTCCTCTCTCTCGATAAAGTCCTGTCTCTTGTATTTATTCACGGGTACGTTCACCACTTCGTAGCTTGTCCCGGAGTGACTCTGAGCGACCTTCTTCAACCCGACGATAGCTGCCAGGATCAAGCTCATCAAACTCAAAACGACTGCCTTGCCGCTTAATATAGCCAAAGTTTTCAACGCTATAGGCAGCAGAATCGACTTGATCAACATAACTCCTATGATCAGAGGGATGATGTATTTGTTCAACTTGTGCTTTTTCTTCTTGCGAGCTGCGTACAACAAAGTAAGGCAATGCGTGAATAATTAGTTGATTAGAATTAAAAAGAAAAATTGACTGTTCAATGACGTTTCGGATTTATGCACTGTCGATTCAATAAAATCGAATACTATCGTCGAATATATTCGAGAAAATCAGATACCGTTTCTATGTCATCCTGGATGCACCAGATAACACGAGTCATCGATGACAAAAAAGGAAGCACTTCTTATTAGTCACGTTCATGAAACGAACGAAATAATAAGGTGAACTGGAGTGGAAAGCTTCTGTGTTGGTCGACCACGCACTGTGAACGACCGAGCATCGCATTATGATAACTACTAGTCACCGCTAATAAGCCTGTGTAACAACATGCTTCCTCCTTTCAGTCTATTAACGCGTCGATGTAACGAGCTACGAGTCTCTGATCACACGAATTTTTTTATCGTCGCACTTCACGATAATTACTTGACTACACTTTACAAAGCATCGATTCTTCGTTTCAAAAAATAAATCTACTACATCGAACTGTTGTGATCGATTAACAGCTAAGCAATAAAATGAAGAAGCACTTGTAATTTAATTCGTTTACCTTCAAACGATGATCGAGCCACAGGAAGAACAGTGTCCACAGCGTTCAAAATACCATCACCGATCCAATCCGCAGGATTCTTCGATTTTTCCAGTTGAAGCTTCCATCGCTCCTGTAACATGGTAGGCTGCGTGATCTCCGTCGCTGTTAGCAAAGGAAGAAAGAACAGTGGGTACAGCATCAGCATCCTTCTGTCTCATCTGACGATTTCCTTCACCACCGTTAATATCCTACAGAAAGGTCGTCAGCAAACGTGGCACACACTTCTTGAAGGAGAGAGAAGAAATAAAATAAAATAAAATAGAGTTCAATTTATCTCACTGAAATTCACAGACGACACTCAAATTGTAATTCACAGTTGCCAATCATCGAAGGATGTGACGATCGAGACAAGAAAAAAAAAGAGAGAGAATGACGAGGAGACTGTTGATAGACGAACTGTCCAGCTGGCAAATGAAATGTTAACTGACATTCGCCCTAGACCGGACCATTAGTTTATATAGGTGGAATGTGAAAAGCCCAGAGAAGGAGACCACCATCTAACTTGGTACTGACGCGTGACGAAGGATTCACTGTCCATTCCCGTCCACGTCCGTCTTTGTTCTCTCCGATCATTGGACGACGTTGAAGACGACTGGTCCCAGAACCATTTTCAGCGGTGGATGGATGTTCGATCGATAATCGCGAGAGTGTGTGCCGGCTTCGATCGTTAACCAACTCGTTCGTTTCACACTCGAGTAATCCATCTGGATTGCTGGAGCGTGGTACGAGCTTACGGGAACGAATCTTGATAGAGTGGTGGCGACGCGAGGTGAAACGAAAACGACCCGCGAAAGGAAACGTTCTGGATAATCGTAAAAACCGATGTTGTTGAAGCACGGACATTTCGATTTGGGTAGTGGAACTTTTTCTTTGAGGGAATTTTTTTAATAGATTGGACTACGAGAGGGCTTGTGTAAAATTTTCTAATTTTTTTTGTCGGATATTTAAGAAGAGATATTATTATGGTTTTGAGCACGCTTTGTTAATCACTTGATTATCACATATGAAACGATCTATTCGTTAATAACACGCAATCACGTAAAAAGAGGCGGTTATAAATTTTCACGGCGCGTCATGTTAAATCGCTGAGTAATCGGAAATAGGAAAACAACAGTGATTCCCGGCTCTAAAACACGATCGCCGGTTAACGTGCGCCAGTAATAAATCTGTTAATTATCCTTCGTTGAATTATTTGTTGTTTTACCTTGAACTGCGCGATTAATTTCTTGCTCGCTGATACAAACAATACGTACAATTACGCGATCAAAATTGTCCGAAGAAATTGTGAGATAAATCGTGTCCTCTGGAAATAAATCGATCGTTCTGGTTATCGTACCGTTTCCGATAGTTTTTGTGGAAACATCTAGAATCGGGTCCGTGCTCCTCGCTATTTAATCGTGGGGCAACAGCACACCGTTATATCTCTCTGAAAATAAAGCGGCGATATCGATCATTACAGCGACATGCAACGCTCGAAACAAAGAACGAAAGAGGACCGCAATGATGACTATGATTTTGCAGTCCTAGACTTTTCGACCTCCCCTTTCTTTCATCTGTTCCTCCTTTTTGCCGTTTGTCCCGTTTCTCGCGCAATTATTCGCGTCACCGTGTTCACGCAGGAAGCTACGAAATTGCCCTTCGCTTCCTTGCGGAACGTTACAATGCATTTACAACTGGCACATGAATAGAACTGCTCCGACAACGTCTGTTTCCCTCGATTCCTACACACAATATCGCCATTTCTGCTCCGGTGGCCCTTTTCTGAGAGACTCTTCTGAAAACGAGACTTCTGTGTCAATTTTTATCCCACTTCCTCGTTTGGCCGAACGTTCAAAATTTAACATTTTATTTATACGACGGTTCTATCGTTCGATGTTGTATTATTAATATTAACGAGCCAGTAATCCCCTATATACATACATCATTAACTGTTTACTTAATGGCATGCATTATAATATTTTTTTAATGATTATTTTTAATAATTTCTGTGTTATCTATAAGCTGTAGATATGAAGTGTGTTTTAAGGAGTGTGTTTATGGGAAATAATTGTAGCATAATATATTAACTATTAATTTTGAACCGTATTGCGTGAATAGATCATAGAAAATCGTCTCAAGTTGCGTGTACATTCAGAACTACAATTTCTTAATATTAATTTTATAGCTTTTAATAATATAAAAATTCACAATGTGGATATATCATTATGATATACATATATGTAAATTATATGCAATGAACATATTGACAATATTATGCATAAATTGCCAACACATGTAAAAACCATGTTATAGTTTCTGTTGAATTCAGTTTGAAAGTAAATTACATATATACGACTATAAAAATGCAAACAATTGTATATTGTTCAATTGTCAATACAGCAATATATAAATATATTACTTTATTAAAAAGAAAAAGAAATCGACAAAAAAATGCGACAGAGTTCCGCTAATTGTAATATTATATATGTTAAATGTATGACAGAATTATCTCCTAATGTATAATACACCATCCATATGAATAATGTTGTAATACAGGGCTCGAAAACTTACCATAATTGTACCTTGATGTACGATTGGCACGAGGATTCAACTTTCATGCATGTCAAAACGCGATAAACTGTATCGCGTGTTGTCTGTCAATTTCCTGTAGAATCGCGGTTGATTCCAGGAATTCCTCACAAACCTCTCGATAAATAAAACTATTAGAACTTTCATCGCTGTTAGCCTTATCTTTTCGAAAATTTCTTGTCTCAGCTTCATTTCTCTGAATTTTTTTTTTTTCATTTCAAATGTTTCCACTAAAATATATTTAATTCTTTCAGACCCACGTTAACGCTAAATCACATTTCGTTCCTTCTAATTCTAATTCGAAAATTTTTAACCATTTTTTTTCTCTCTTCGACATTTCACAGAACAAAATTTCAAGTTTGTCAATTTCGTATTAACATGCCATGTACCGTGCCCTTTTGTAATTTATAGATTTTCCGCTTGTTATTTTTATCAGATGAAAAGATTTCAATTTCACTCCTCCCATTCTTTCCCTTTATTCGTTCATTATACATATCTATACAATCATAGATCGTACCACCCAGATTCAAAACGAATCGCCGATCAGTTACATTCTAATCGTCCTGTCATCGGCCCGGTTAGCAGTTCAGCGTAACTCAAATCATCGTCCATATGGTACGATCGTTCGCACCGTATGATCACTGACGATTCCGTCACCCCACATCAGCATTGTAGTCCCTTCCTTCTCTCGCGGTGAACATCAGGGTAATCTGCTGTACCGTTCGGCAATATAACTTGACACATATTGCCGCCAACAATTTGGATCATAGCGCTTACCGCACGCATATATTGCCGCCACGTCGCACGGTGCTCATTTTTCACGGACTGTCGATCCTGCTGGTAACTGAAGCGTGCCCTGGCGTGGTACCCTGTCCAGCCCCCCACAGGTCGTCGCCGGGGAATCAAGAGCGCATCAGTCAGCTCGCGGTCGCGGTTGCTCGCTGTTGTAGTCCGTTACAAACCTGGAAACCATCATTTCGTCATTTGTATTCGAACGTGAGTGTTGTCATTCCACATCGTTCAAAATCTCTCGAAAATAAATTAGGTACAGAACAGTTGGCGCAGAAGTTGAGGAACGTCGCGAAGGAATCTCTGTAAGCGTTCGTTGAACGATTACGTTAGACTGGACGAGAGTCGTAAGTTGTTTCAAAGTGGCGAGTTATTGCGAACGTTTCTTTTTCTTTCTTTCTTTTTTTTCGATCTAGTGACGATGCAATCTTGTTTGAAGGTCGAAGGATAAAATGCATTCGAGTTTCGTAAAATTGTCTCCCTTCAGATTCAAATTTCAAATCACGCACGTGCCTCTCTCGCTTTTCTAAATTGTCAGAGTCTTCCAACTTCTCGATGAAATTGTTCCCTTAACCACCCGCGCTGGCAACTAATTGCGGACCATAACGAGCGACCAAACCGTATACAGTAATTCTTCGCTTTCTTTTTGAACTCGTCATTGTGATATTACTGGATAGAAATTATTGAGAAGCAATAAATTTATCATTTGTTTTGCCTATTTTGTTTTACTTAAATATACTTAAAACTGAGAAAATATTACAATTTTGGAACAAAAAATTCTCGACGTGCGTGGCACGTCATTCCAGCGCAAGAGGTTAAGCACTTCTGGCGTCTTTATGATTTTCAAACATTATTTTGCCAAACTATTCGAGCACGTCTGAATTTGAATTGGCCATTCTGTCAGAATATCAAACTCAGTCATCATTTTACGCTTGCAGAATCGTCGAAACGGATAATTAAGCAAAGTCATGGTGCGGACAATATTGGAGATTGCGGCTCTATCGTGATCAGCGAAAGAAGAGCGGATGCGTACGAAGATTGTCGTGACCTTAGGAATTCGCGAACACGTCGACGATGTAACCGGGAGCGACGTTCCATCGTAGACATAAACTCGGGAAGATGAAACCGAGAGTGAATCTGGTCGCGATTATATTAACTCTGAGCTGTGTGTTACGTGCGTTGGAAGGTTTGAAATCCGACGACAAACGTACAAACCACAAGGAATACTCTGTTGTGAAAAAGGTTTTCAAGGAGGTTCATAATAAGGTTGCACCAAATAGCGTCGCTGTCCTACGCGGAGAAGATAAAACGAAAGTGGTGAAGACCAGGAATACTGGTCTGGGTTTGTCGAAAGATTACCTACATACACCAGGTAATATCGAATTCTCTTCGTTTCAACAAACCTGTTCATGCTCGCATTACTCAGCAACCACTTTTTATCGAGATTATCAAAATTTTGAATTGTCGGAATTATTGAAATTTTAATGCGAGTTTAAATATTTGGATTAATTTTTACGATGAAAGAGGAACACTTCGATCGCTACGATATTTAATCTCGTTTATTAATTTTCATACAATACATTATAAAGCTGCTGAAATCGTGAAACAGATATTCATCTTTAAATAAATAGTTTTCGCGAACACACACATCTATGATAGACTGATCGATTCGAAGGAGGCGGTAATCGACGCTAAGAGAATTACGGCAATTAACCTTTCCAATCGCTTTCAGATCGTCCTCGCCGAAGGAAGCGGAAAATGGACCGTACAATGATGGCGCTGCTAATGGCCTACAAGCTGAAGTTCGTCGCTCTGATTCCAACGATGATCGGAGGGTTAATACTGTTAAAGGCCACCGCGTTGCTCGCGGGCTTTTTCTTCGCGCTATTCGCCGCGGTTCTCGGTCTGAAAGTGAAGTGAGAACAGCGTCGATATCGATAACGAATTAGACCGACGCTGCTGGTTTTTCGACAACGGAACGATGTACTTAGATAGCTTTCGAACTCTCGATCCCGTGGATTGCGAGGTCACGCCATCTTCTCGCGATCCACGTGATCCCCGCTGTCGGACTCTAGGAGTAAGAGTGTAACATATGTATCACTTATCCCGTATGTGTAGCGAAAGAATATGCGATGAAAAATGATTAAATCATTACGTCTTCCTTGTTCACGTCGATTACGTGCCTCTCTTTATTCGATCTCAGTCTTGAAACTATCGGGAAACTGTTACAGAGTCAATGGATTAACAATATGTCGTAATAGTAAATATAATAAATATCATGGCGTTCAATAAATATTCATCATTCGTAGCTTAAGTGAATAATTAAACTATCCAGGAGAATTGCGGTGTAATTGCGGCGAGACGATTGCAAGATTAAATTTGGAAATTATTCTCCGACCGTTTGCACGTCGTCCCGAGCGCAAATAAAGTGCCTCGTCCCGATTCCGTTAGAAACTCGCGTGCGCGGAAATGATTGCGTAGCTATTATCGTGCCGAATGGTTTCTCGGTTGACGGGGAGCGAAAATGAGTGGCAGGTATGTGGTGTATCCGACTATTGCGTGACGGCATTTGCGAGCAAATGTCGCTGACGTTCGCGGTACACGTTTAGCTAACGATTATCACGCTCGTTTCTCGCGTCGCGTCCGCAATGCAAGTTTGGCAACTAATTACCGCTACTCGTCTCGTTTCGGATACTTTCCGCGTTAATTTCTACAGGGTACGATTTGTAAGAGAATAATTAACAAAGATAGTTGAAACGATAGCCATGTTCTTCTTTTATAAATAATTTAACAATATACATCGTCAACTGTCAACGTAGCCTTGTACAGAGACCTAGTATCTTTCGTGGAAGATTACAAATCGAGCGTCTAACGAGTTTCAAGATTCTCAAACAAGCTAACAAGTTTCCGCAGTTGCAATATTCCCTTCCACGAAGAACATTTAAGCGAACTACTTTCTATATAAGTGAGAAAATTATGTCGTTACTCTGTAGAATCGTTTGTCTAAATCTTTTGTGCAGAGGTGAGAGGATGTGATCTTTCGTGTGAAATTTCAATATAGGTGCCCGTGTCTTTACGATTCTACCGAGGTAATTAATCTGTCTAATATTTACGAATCTGTCGGAGACAATTGATCAGATCGACATTTGTTTGCCTAACCATAATCTTATCTGTGCGCAGCAAGTGTAATGTCGGTCGATTTAGAACGTGAAGTTGTCGTTGTGGCGCCACGCAACGCCGAACGGAATCGGAAGACCTTCTATGCCCCCCCCCCCCTCCCTCCTCCGCCACCCTGCTCGATGGCGATCAGTGCTGATGTCGCGCCGAATAGGCCAAGTTCTGCGCGTAGTCGCGAGTCAGTTCGGTCGTCGACGTTTCCATAGCGGCGAAAACGTTCTTCAGACTCCTGTCCCAGCCTCCGCCACCTTGCTGCCAACCACCGTGATCGTTGCTCTGCTTCTGGCTGAGCAGTTTCTTCAGTCCAATGATCAGAGACAAGACCAGAGCGATCTTGCTGATGATCAGAGCCTTTCCAGCCAACAGGAACAGCACACCAAGGGCAATGGGGATCAGCGCCGCGAGTTTCATGGCCATTCCCATCATCATCATGCCCATCATCTTCTTCATTTTACCGCGTCCCTCCTCCATGCCTCGTTTCAGTTCACCGGCACTGGTCCTCGGCAGCCGAATCTGAACGTTGAAGCTGTTCAACAGCGAGGCGACACGATCGAACAGAATCTCGTTGAGAATTTCGTCCTTGCTGGACGTAGTTCTGCCCAGTGTAGTTTCCAGTTCGGACATGGAGCTCTTGGGCATTTCGTCCGTCGTTCTGATCAACTCGAAGTTCTCCGACAACGGCAGCGTACGCATCCGGCCCAATCTTTCGAAAAACGCGATCGCCTTCTTCTTCAGGCATGGTGAAACCGCTATGTTCCGATGCTGGCAGTCCTCGTAGACTCTGTACATCGCCCTGAAGCCCCTGTCCACGAGAGTGTCTTCCTCCTTGGTCGCCGAGGACGCATAGCAAATCGCACAACACGCCAACAAGACGAGCACACACTTGGACAAATCGATCATCTTCTTCGTCTACTTCTTCCGCTGACGGGATGATTCCCCGCGACTCGTTCAATCCTCGACGAGAGAGAGACACGGGCGAATGAAACGTCACAGTGAACGTGCGATTATTCGCGAGATCACTGAGCGCACTTCCGCGAACTTCAGGATCTAGACTGGGAACTGGCGTCAGCAGCATACGTCCGGTCGGATATATACCATCCAGGGATCCGCCATCCCTCGCGAACCGGGCTGAGCTGTCTCCCACGTAAGGAGCAGTGCCGACAGCCCGCGGACGTACCAATGCGGTACACGTGACAATGTTTCCCCCGCGCTTCCTCGGGGCTCCCCTGCAACGGCCTCTAAACAACCAACGTTCTCTGTTCTTCTCTTCGTCGCTTCAGTATGCTCGTGCCTCGTGCCGTCTATCTCCTTCCTCGCTCTCACCACTCGCTCCCCGCGAGTGAGGATTCTCTCACAGCGTGCGAGCATGCGACCCATTCTGACACACAGACCCACTCACAGGCATCGAGATCGAGATAGAAGAAGGTAGAACGACCTGACATTAAGTTTCGCTTATGTCTGCGGGAACAAGCTGGAGGAGAGGGGACAAGCGTATGGAAGCTAGCGTCTTACTGAAACTTGCCTGGCACCGTGATCCTGTTGACCTCTCATCGTGATAGTTGGAAGTAGTTTTAGGTCGTGGACGGACCGCGGCCTTAACTCTCGCGCGCATGTCCCTTCCACCGATCGTTTCCTGCTCTCTGGATCCCGCGAAATCGCGATCCAGATTCGCTCGGCTTGTTGAATTGAACGATAATGAAGCAATTTACGCGACCGTTGGGATGGGAATTTCCTCGAGTTCGATGGTGGTTATTGATTAGGAATTTTTATTTCGAGAAACATACGTAGACTACAAGGATATATGAATTTATTCGAACCGTGGATCTTTTTATTCAATTTAAACTTCAAACATACTTTCGAGGGAACAACTCGGTTAAGAATTCTCTTAATTGTCTCGAACTTTTGTAAACATCCACTCGTCCATTCTACGTTTGATTCAGTTTTCAAGGATGCATACAGTTAAACATTCCTCGAATTCTGTTCCACCGTGAATGACAGATTAGACTTTTGTTAGACAGGTTGCAATTAAGAAGCAAGGACTTGAAAATTGTTCTTCGGTGAGTAATCTTGTGGCGTAGGTAGTGCAACGAATCACGTAACAACGAGAGCAAATTACAGTTGTCTCGCGAAGAGTGAATCACGTTCGTATCTTTTTCGTCCGTTGCACCAGACTGCAATCTTTCACCTTCACTCGCGGTCGTCTTTTTCTGCGGCTAACTGGGCGTGTCCGCGGCGAGGAAAACAAACGCTTGTCGACTGGGCGATTTATTGAATCCTGATAATCCCACGATTTTTACTCTCTTCTATTCTAAACCACCGTCTTCTACCTCAATTCAAATCCCATTTCATTGTTTCTTCATTCTGAACTTTCAACTTTCCATAGAACTTTGCGAACGCTCGTAGGGATGTAATTTCAACTTCCGTCTGATCTCGCTTCCCAAAATTGTTTGTGACAAATACTCTTTTTAATTTTTAACCAATTGCGCGAGACTGCAATTTCAATTTAAAGAAATTTGGAAAGAACGAGAAGTTCACATTCATGTAATGATCAACGATGTCTCAGACCGACTCAAACCATCGTGCATACCAATGGATGAAACCCGACGAGTAAATTTTGAACAGATTCTTAAAAAAATGGATTGGTCAAACAGAATGTGTTACTGTGCCGATCTCGACACAAGCTCAATCGAGGTTAACGCATCTCTAATGCGACTACGACGCATCCTCGATGCTCGCTTACCTACTTCGTGATTATCTATCCCATAGCTAGGGCCGCGGCGAGCCGAGACGAACAGTGTTGGCTCGCGTGCCACATTCACGGCACGCAGGTGAATTCGCACAAACGTCACCGGATAGATTCCGTGACAGTAACAATGGGACAGAAACGAAATCCCTGGAACGTGCTAGTAAGATCGAAGAGCCGGCGCTTTGAGGATTCATCGCGATTGCTTTGAAACGTGTGAAGGTACACTCGCTTGGCCATGATCCGATTTCACGATGAGTTTGTGAGAAAGGTGTCAGCGGTGGGTGTAGGTGGGATACTTCTCTTTTGTGTTTGGTGTTTCTATATTTAATTTTACTTTATTTGGTGTTAAATTGGCATTCCTATATTTATTATATTTATGACATGTAAATGTTCTTTTAATATGTTTGGTTTAGATTAGGTTCGCTGTTTTTCTTTTGCTCTTTTTTAGTAGCGTTTTACAATGAGTATTCGTAATGAGGATATTTCGTTTGGATCGAAATGTTCATGCAGTAAGAGTTGTACACTTCCATGATAGTTATATTGTGCTATTTTCTTTTTTGCTAATCCGCTTCTTTCCTCTATTTCTTCTTCTTATTGTAATACTCATAATCCTAATGAATTTATTATTATTCGGTATTTAGGTTAGGTTTATTTTTAGGAATTTATTGTTCGATATTTAGGTTAAAGATTTAACGTATAAATAATAAAAAGATTATTTTCTTCTTTCTTGATATTACGTTTCGTACCATTGGTCATCTTTCTTCTACAATAATTGGATTGTGCTACTTATACTCGTGGTGCTAAACTTTCGATCCATCTCTCTGTATCATTTTATAATGTTGTACTTATAGTTATAATAAAGTCATTATTGTAACACGATTTTTAAATCGACGAGTTAATATAATAAGAAAGATCTCTCTTCTCGATACTATTTTTTTTACGGTTGTCCTTCTTTCTTCTGTAATAATTAGACTGTGCCACTTATGCCTCGGGTCCCGCACACTGGACCATCCACTTCCATCTCTCTTTTTCGTTTCATAATTATGTTATGCTTATAATCATAATGAAGTCATTGCTATTATGATTTGATGTTTAGAAACTGGGAAATTTGGTTCACGTTTGCTAGGAAGACTGGTGTATTCTACTTTGTTACACCACAATCAAGTAGTAAACGTGACACTGGCGCGTTCCCTATTGTTGGGAAGGAAAGTTCTCGGTTTGACGGTAAACGGGAACGCACGAGATTAACGAGGGAATACGTTACTGTCGCAGCATGAATGGTTGCGCGCGATTCTTTTCAAGAGGATTTACCGACGCGAAGATCACTTCACCGGCCACAAAGCCCACTGAACGCGTTTAAGGAACGAAAACGTGTCTACAATTACCCAAAAACTCTCCGAAAACGTTTTCCATTTTTGCGGCAAAGGAACTTTTTTTAGCGATCTAAATTTCACATCGTCTATATAACGATACTTAGTACAGTTATCAATTCCCATTTTCTGCAGAAACTTGAAACCGATTTAATGTTAAATATCGGATTAGAAAGTAATTGCATCATTTTCCAACAAATGGACACGTATGCACGTTTTAAAATATTTTAAAACTAATTTCATTTTAAATCGGAAATTCATTATACGACCCGATTACACGAACTGATTGTGCAAGCTTGTTTTAGAAACAAAAATGCACGATTTCGTTAACAATTGTTTGTTTAGCGTCGATTTCAAAAAGTAACATTTTCGTCATATTTTACTGTATTACCTTCGAGAAGGAAAACAAGAAAGCTGTGCAGTGAAGAAGATTTAAAACTACAGCAGAGTCTAAACTAGTTTGCTGAATTTCACTGCTGTATGACAATGTTCCAAGAACATTGTCAAAAATGATGAACATTTTTTTGAACACGGAAGTTGATGAAAAGTTGCCTGAAAAGTGGCAAGAAGGTAATCAAACAAAATAGACAATACAAGCTTTTATTTCTCATGAAAAATTCACCTTTCATTTGCGCACGAACGGACGCAGTTACTTGTTAATCGGTCGTTTTAAATTCTTCGCTGTTTTATTACAACCCCTGGAGGCAGTTAAACAGAAATTCATCTCCAAGAATCTGTTCGATACTTTCTACCTTCAATTTATTTTGCGTGAGTTTGTACAACGTGACATAAAGTTTAATGACTCCACGCAAGAGTTTTTCTCGTCGTGCACTTCGAAGTACACGTAGATAATACGAGCTTTCAGAAACGAGAAAACCAATCGGACAGGAACTAGGAAATACTCCGGGGCGATGCTTCTGGGCAAATACCCGGCTCGTCATTAGATCCAGGTCAACCATCCGCAACAGGTGCTCGTAAGTTTTTGACCTGGCTCATTACCTCGACGAGAGAGCCACGAATTTATGCTCGTAGTTCGATTTCGCCTCGAGCCTGTGCCACAGACAGATCGTGCAACAGACTTTTTCGGATATCGCGACTGAATGGTATCATCTGATCGTTGAGATGAAAGTTTACTGATGCGCGAAATTGTTCATCGGTTGCTACCACTGTTATAAATTGAATGGCGAGAATGAAGGTGCGAGTGTAATCTTGCGGTGTCCGGTGTTATTTACGCGTTAACTCATCCACCGGTTACAACCACGGGACTGTTTTTCTTTGCTATTTATCTGTTTCACGCTGTTTCTTTGGATCGTGAGACTCGCAGTCGAGGTTAATTGTAGAATCTGACAATAATTCTGGTAAAAAGTTCCTTTCTCTTGTAACTTCTTTTTGTCTAGGAATTGAATATCAGGTAGTACGTATAAAAGTATTAAATCCCTAGGAGATTATCAATTTATGCAATAACTCAACTAATTCTTTCTACTGCCTGTGTAATAGTTGCTCAAGTGATAAGATTTATGTAAGACTTCTCACACTAACTTGCATGTACGATTTTAATTACTTGCAATATTGCTAAAAAAAAATAATTTTTATACAAAATCTGTTTCGATGTTACACAACTTTACGTGTACGTTTGACATAAATTATTGTGAGATATCTTTTTGTAACTTCGAACGTTTTAGTTGTAATCTAAAATATAGTGTTCATTAGTTTAATGTTAGCTATTATAAAATGCCAAACTTTCGTCATCGTATGAAATTTTCTTTTAGATTTGGAAATTTTTCCAACTTCTTTTTGGAATTTTTTACAAAATAACTAGGATATTTAGTAGGACAATATGTAGAGACGCAGTGTGATCGTTGTTTTCACGGTTTCAAGTGGCGTGCAATCCGCGACCTTCGCGGGCTATAATCCTGCATACCTCGAAGCAGTGAATCGAGGATGCTCGATCGGCCCAGTGGCACACAAAGCTATCGCAGAAAAAGATGCTACCTTTTAAACCTTGTTTTCTACTTCCTAGCGTATAAACTACGCGGGAGGCGGAGCTACAAGAAGCAGTCTCAGTTTGGCGACAGTGTTTCAGTTGATCTACGATCGTAGCATCCACCGATAACTTTCCAATCGTTAGTAGAAGCGTTAAGTGTTACACGTTTGAATTGTTCTTGACAGTATACTCGACGAATGCAAACATGGATTCTCTTCGATCCTTTATTGAAGTTTCTGTAAATTGATAATAATTGATTCGCGATAGTTCCTATTGTATTGGAGAAAGTACCTTCTTTGTCAAGATGAAAAGTTGTACTTGGCATTTAACCTTTGTTTTACAGTCACAATTGTTTCGGAAGAACCTCACTTATCTGAACCAAGTTTTGATTAAACGATTTTATACTTGGTCAAATGAACCCCTGCTGGTTGAATCTACTTATTTAAATCTGAACTCCTGAAATCATGTGAACAAAAAATTACTAATGGAGAATTAGCGAACTTCTATTATATATCGATGAACAATTATGATAAACTATTTATCCCTCAAACTATTTTGTTTGTCGTATAAACAGATTTCTACTGTACTGTAGAGTTTTTTCTATTGAATGTTTTAACTGTTTATGTTATTTTACTATATAAGATATCTTCGAAATCATGCTACAAGTGACAAAAAACAAATCGTGACATTCTCCTTGATGTGAAATATCAGGAGCCGAAGAAACAATCGAATTTACTACAAAATTTACAATTAGTGCACGTGTAACTGATACATGTTGAGGAGAAAACCTTAAATAACAAAATATTATTCTTGCTTTTCGATCTTTTTGTAAAATGTATGGTCGAATCATTATTCGAGTAGCTTTTACCGCAATTTTGGAAATACCCTGTATAATAAATAAAAAAAGAAAACATTTCTTCTATATCCTAATAATTCCTCCAGTGCTGTTCAATGATTAATATTATTTTCAACATTGTGTTCAGTATTAATTTTTTATATTAAAAAAAGAAGGTTCCGCGTACAGAGCATTAACTCGAACCAGCTTCCTCCAGAAGTAACTCGGTGCGTTGTAAATGTTTTTCTAAACTCTCGCAATTAGCCCAGATCCTTTTGATTTCAATGTATCGGGCTATCGTTTCTTCACACTGAACGACCACGGTGCAATTAACAGGGAGTACGGAGCGTGATTCGACGTGCTAGCGGTCCACGCACGTATCGTATCCGCAACGCAGAATCGAAGTTAGACACAGAAGAACGATCCGTAGCTGAATTCACGCTCTGTATGTCGTAACCGCTAATTACAACTGTTCCTATAAAAATGACCACACGTTTAGCCGGTCAGTTCGCGTCGAACATGCTTCGATGTACGATCCTCGTCCTACAGCTGTTTGGCCTTCTGGCCACATGCTGTTCCACCGTTCTCTATCGGAATACGCACAGTGAGTTGTCAATTGCGCCGGCCGATTGCAGCCAGAGCGAGAATTCTACCGAGTGTGCAACGAAGAACGTGCGGGACATTGAAGGCAGAAGCAATGAAGCAGCGTCGGCAAAAGAAGTTAAGATGATTAGGTTAAAAGAATTGGAGAATAATGATGTTGCGGTCGAAGAAGGTGAGTTGTACAATGAGTTAAGAGTGAAATATAATTGAAGAATTAAGGCATTGTGATAAGAGTGAAATAATTGAAGAATTATTCTTCAATTTATTAGAACATTATTATTAGGATATTTAGAGTGTTTATATATTATCATTAGGGTATTTAGGAAGTATTCGGATATTTCTATAAATGTTTGGTTACTGTTAGGGACGAAAGTTTTAATATTTCAGAATATTTCACTGGGGCTATTAAATTTAATTCAAAAGATTGATGTGCTTCGTAATAATAATAATGTAATATTTAATCAATTTCAATTAACACAGAAAGAGAAACATAATAATCAATTTTAATATGAAAGAAATATAATATAACGTTTTATCTGGAAATGAACGAAAACGAGTCTGATATTTTTTCTTATCGTAATTTCATATTTTTTATATTTTCTTTTAATTTTCATGTTCATTTACTTCGCATTTTTATCTATATTTATCCTTTTTCTATTCGACCGTGACGATGAAAAATGTATATTACATATGCGCGCGGCATTTGTCTTCAAGGGGGATGAGAACGTTCCGGTCAGACATCGGACAAGTTCGCAGTGGACGCGTTGAGCGATTCTTTTTTACGATTTTTCGTTTTATTTTGCTTGGTATATAACTCGCGAATATGTGAAATACCGTTCGACGAGAAAGATTCTAGGTAGTTACTCAAGTTTCCTGTTAAACTATTCATTTAACTCTACTATATATTTTCTTTAAACGTTATCTTCGCAAACGATCTTGCGCATCGCGTGACGAGGCCTACCTCTGCATTATTCATATTTTTTTTTATTTTTTGCCGTATATAGACGCGCGTTCGCCTTAATTATTGCAGTAATCATACTCCAAGGAATAACTTGCAAATGCGTATTTTTAGGACGGAGGAAGAAGAACAAAGGATACGGTCAGATGTTGATGTACTTTTTAGGAGCGTCGAAACTGACTATGCTTTATGTACTAGTGAATGCTGTCGCTGCAATTGCTGGAAAGGCTCTGATTGTTGGTAAAGTGGCTCTAGCAATTGCAACAGCGATTGCATTAAAAAAAGCGTTTGGTAAGCGAGTTGAGTTAGAACGAAAGTTTGACAGTATTATTGTTCCGCTGTAAAGGGTATTTGTCCTCTTATTGGAGCGTTGATAAGTTTTCATTTTGCTTTCAGAACATAAAGAGAAAGTATCGTACGAGATAATTAAACATCCGTATCACAGCTCCGAGCATAGTTACAGCACGGGTATAGAATACGATCATCACGGTGGATACGGCGAAAATAATTTCAACTATCGGAAACGACGAAGGATTCTCCACTAGGAGATCGAACGACTGAGATTCAAAGTACAAATATATATATATACATTTGAAATATTAAATGCAAATGGATAATTATTTTGAATAATAAAAGTATTTACAAAGTAAATTTGTCATTTTTTACTTAATCTTAAAAAAAAGATTTTTAAAAAATATTCGAATCAATTAAGAATTAATTTTATCTGAAAGTTCCTCTGTTCTTCAATGAGAAAGAGGGAAGTGAATCTTGCTAACATTGTTTATTTGTATCAGGTTCAATTAATATACAAGTACGTACAAAATAAATTAAATACAATAATATTAGTTTTTGGTACAGCGCATTTTACTAACTATCCTGAACAAACAACAAGTTACATAAAAATACCTAACTACAACACTATAAACTACAAGGTACACTTAAACTCATAATAAATAAATACTACGCAGTCGTGTTTCGCACGTTGATTTCTTCAATTAATATCACGCAAATGCTATTACGTCAAAATTTACTTTATATACAAACAAGAAGGATCTTTATTCGCTTTGCTACACTTAACTAGCTAAACAAAGTATCGTACATGAAACAAATGAAATTTCGCAGGATTCGATCGATTCAAATAGGAGAAACACCGTCGGTGGATCGTTGCCAGCCACTCCCATATCCTCCTCCGCCGTAACTTCCGTGATGTTCAGCACCTGTGGCGTAGATCACTTCGTGGCCACCGCCTCCCTGGCCGGAGACCAGCTTCTTCAATCCAATAATTGCGCTCAGAACTAACGCTATTTTAGCTGTGAGCAAGGCCGTGCCAGCGAGGAACGCGATTTTAGCGTAAGCTAGCTGCGCCATCATAGCTAAAAATTAATTTTCTATGAACTCTGAGATATCGTTGCGCAACAAATTTGTGTTCTACAGCTGTATTCTTCATTAAATTACAACTCACCTCCCACTGCTAGAGCTCCCATTATCAGAGCACCGTATCCCTTGTCTTTCTTCTTTCGACCTAAAAATTTAACTCAATTGAATCCTAAAGGAATTCATAACTAAATTTAATTGAATTCTATAGTATGAAACAATTTGTACAGCTGGAATTAACCCCGTACCTTGAAACGAGTCTCCCGGGATAGTAAGCTTCACGCTTCTAGAAGAAATGTACTCGTGAAACTTGTGATCGAGCTTTTGATCCAAAGTGAGTTTCGTTTCGTTGTCGTCCTTGAACGATCTGTCTATGCTCTTGATAACCGCTGCAGGGTCCCTCCCGATGGAGATGTAGTCGTTCAACACGTACACCGTGTCATCCTTGATGGCCGAATCGAGAATTTCCAAAGCCCTTTGCTTCAAACAATCGAAGGCGTTCTTCTCCCTGGCGCATTTGTCGAATAACCTCGTGTACTCGTTCTTGCTCAGCGCCAGATTGAACAGTAACACAGATTGGGTAATAAAAATGAGGCAAGCAGTTCGGTATTTTCCCATCGTGTTCGAACGCGGTGCAAATTCGGTGCAAATCGCGTACAAACGCGTACTGATGGATCGAAGTTTGATCTCGCAGCGTTCCGCACCGATCTCGAGTCGACCGCTCGAAAAATATCGCGAACTAATTCGAATTGCTCGGCCGTCGCACTTATATAAGGGTATTTCACGTTTCTCCTACCATTGGTCAGCTCGTCCTTACGACGTTGGACTCACACCTGATCCACGCGCTGTTTAACGCCTCCTCCTCCAGAAGGAGGGACTCTTGAACCAAAACAATGCCGTACAGCCCCGTAAGTAAGTATCCCTCTGACCCTGTTGCCAAGTGAAGCCGAAACCCTCGCGGAGTGGCTCGCAAATAGGAATTAAAGGCCGAGCGGCTTTTAAGGAGTATCGTGAATCCAGGTAAAGCTGTAGCAAACCTTCCTTACGTTACTCCACGCATTACTCCTCAAGCGTTTTCAAACTCTTTCTCGGAAATAATGCAAATTTCAAAGATACGAAGATAAGAGTCCGTTTTGATTTGCTTGCAGCAAGCGTCAAAGACGACGAATCGAAGATTGCACGTATTTCGTAATTGGATGAAAATTCACGTAACAAGAATCGAGAAGAAACTAGAGAAATCAAGTTTCATATTCGAGGCGTTTTTACTGCACGGTGAAAGTCCACGCTTGCGTTCGTGAAAAATGAACGTATCGCGGGCGAATGATGCATCGTTCCAACCTTTTTAATTACGCACGCCGACGAATTAGTCACCACGAATTATTTAACCCGACTCGTCGAGATACTGTTAATCCGACACGGATTACAGACCATGACGCGCCACATCCAACAACACAGCCCGAGCAATTACGCGCGCACGAAATTTTGATGTTAAAAAATGTGTCCACTGTTCACGGCCGTTCAATCTCTGGCCTGAAAGATTCAGGACACTGTTCCCCGCGTTTGTCGTTCATCCTTGTCCCGATGTCTCTCTGTGCGACCGGGCCAAACGCAATTACCCTACTTCGTGCCTTATCACGGCTGCTGACGAAAAAAAAAAAAAAAGAACCAAGTTTCCAACGTATCGTCGGAATCACGACGCGTGCGAGCAACGAACATTGCGTCTGAAAAATCCAGGCCACCCCTCTTTCCTGCTCGTTATCTCGCCGATTTCGTCGCCGTGATGGCCACTATTACCCTACTTGAGAGCACAAGGGAGGAAATGAAGAAAAAAGGGAAGGGAAAGAAAAAGAACGATCGTGGAACAATTTTGCGAAAAGACATCTGCGATCTCGACACGGGGAAACTCAAGCACGATAGCGAATTCCACAACGGCGGAAGAAGAATGAACCGTTACATCGTAACGAGTCGACGGCGTCACGCACGTTCGATCGGGGCAGCCAAGTGCAGAAATAACGCAAACAGCGACGTGGAATAGTAGAAGCCACCGGCCGTGAAACGGTGGCGGAAAACGAGCAACTTTTACGGTCGACCGTCGACTGTCCTGGTAATGTATGCCGCGTTCGTCGGTCACACTTGACATAAGCGGCTCCGCAACCACGTGGTGAAGATACACGAACGTTCACGGGACCATGAACGCTGTTACCTTTACGAGCAAAAGCGTTTCCCGGACACGATGCCTCTTCCTTCGGATACCAATCACCGGTACAGTTACACAGTACACGATAATGGACTGAGACTAATGGATCTGCGAACGAGTGAAAACTGTCCTTCCTTTAGGGCGAACTCCGAAAGGAAGTTGGAAAACGACAGTGAAAGAGTGACGCTGTTCAGACGCTGTTCTCGCGGAGAGAACGAATTATTTTGGCCTTTGTTTGCTGTAGACATCACAAACGTGATATCTTTTCGGGTTAGGCATATCCGGCTGGAGCTCCTCTGTTTCGTTTAATTACAAGGAGAATCCTTAATTGGGAAAATGGGAGAGAAAAACGATATTCATAAGAGTAGACGGAAGGAAAATTCTGTGTAAATGGAACAGGGGCGTAAGAAATGGTTGCGCACTGAATAATTCTTTTCTGGAAATTAAGTTTTATTCAAAGGTTTAATTTGAACATTCCACATTTCAAGAGAGAAGATGTAATAAACACATCCTGTCCGTCTCAACGGGTAAATAATACTGTGCAACATCGCATTAACCTAAAAGTTTCTGCATCTTTGGTAGAACACACAAGTTTCAATATTTTCTTCCAAATATATTTTCTTCCAAATAAAATATTTGTCGATAGAAATATAGACATATATATTGTACGAAGGAGAACAATTTTCTGTAGTATGGAAATTTCTAAACGGGCTCAATTTTTTTTTTTTCTTTCTTTTTTTACGGGACATCATCGCGAAATTTCGTCTCGATAGAAATCACTAGACTAAAACCATCAGCTACTCTCCATCAAAAGAAATTAAAAGGAAAGGAACTAAATTTTGTCAAGAGGAACAATTCTATAGTATAGAAATTTTTCGCGACACATCGTATCACGAGTTTCGGTTTTGATGAAAGTCACTAGACTAAAAGCACCTATTTGTTACCTCTTGTTGATCACGTCAGTTACTTTTTACCCAGACGAAATTCTTGCCATTCCGTTTGCTCTTCCCCACTTCCTCCGCGTTATCGTAAACGTCGACGACCTCTCTGATTACATGCTGACTGTACGGCTGGAAGTCGTTGCCCTGGAATCCCCTGTACGGTCTGTGGTGAAAATTGTAGTGTTCGTAGTACGGGAATCCTCCGATCGGTGTCTCGTGTCCGTGCGTATGGAATCCTCCTGCTGGATAATGCGGCGGCCCAGTGGGTGACAATAACGAATTCCAGCCCAACAGACCACTGATCACCAGAGCTATCTTCGTCAGTAGCAAAGCTTTCTTCGTGAGTATCAACAAGAATCCGAACAACAGCGGAATGAGAGAAGCGAGGTTGAACTTGAAGCCCAGGAGGAATGGTAGCAGCAGATGCCTCACCATTTGCCTTCCTGCAAAGAAGAAAGTTGCGTGACAACATTCGAACGTATAGCATTCGCATTCTTAACCTTGTTGCTCGAAAATAGAAATATTCGTACCGGCATGGAACTATTAATAGAAAGTAGATCTAGCGCGGATCGAACTGGTAATATCTCAGACATTCCAGCGATACGATATCTAATCGAGGATGTTAACGTATTCTACAAGTACAAACATAGGAAGCATTAAGATTCTTCAACGTGGATGGCCTTGACCGTGCTGCCTGCTGGAGGTGCTTCCTGAAAGCAGTATGTGGCAAACGCCGCAACAGCGTGGATGCGAACCGTGGAGAACGCTGGTTCGTTTCTATGCTTATTTCAACGTTGGGAAAATATCACGCGATTGAAACAACGTTGAAATAATTCTCCAAATTTGTCAATGATCGATGGAAGAAAATAGAAACTAATTTGAAAGTTCTTCGTAAGGATTCATTTGATAAAATTCCACGTAACATCTATCAAATTTTCCCAAATGATTAATAGGGGATTAAGAACAACAGTCGAGAATATTTGACAGGGAAATAATTCTTTACCTGGTCCAGCTTGCCTGTCGCCAAATGTCGTTGCTCTTTCATTGATCACGAATTCCATGATGCCATTCCCATTCAGCATCGGTCCAGCTCGCAACTGCAGTCCCGGATACACGCTGTCCAAATTCCACTTGAAACTTCTACGCTCGATCAGCTTGGTCGTCGCTTTCACGATGTTTCCAAAATCTTTCGGATCGTAATCCCAATCCACAAGTTCTCTACTTTGGCCGTCGGCCCTCTCCAGATGAACATTCCCAAAATCTAGATCGTCCTTGTGATTAAGCGACTGGAGAGTACTCAGAGCACCACGATTCGCACATTCCAGCGTGCCGAATTCTTTCCTCGCTAAACAGGCGCCGAAAGCCTCGTTAAAACTGGTCGAATCTTCGTTGGGCAAGATTGATTCCTCTGTTGGTTCCATAATGACTGTAATTCCCGTGGAAACGAAGGCCAACAGACACAAACCTCGTAATCCGTGTTTCATGACGACGATACAGGTTTCGTAAGTGAGAATAAAACTGAAAGAAGATCGCGGAGAAAGTCGACGAGATATTTTTTTCGCGTGGCTCGTGATTCCGCGATGAAAGTTCCGCCTGGATGCAATTAAGCGGATCGTTCAGTTCCGAGAGAAGAAAGAGTCCGCGTTCCAACGAATTTATCAAACCTTCGAATCCCTGCGAAAACGACCCTCGTCATTTTCGTTCTCGAAGAAAGAGACACGCGAGAAGAGTGGAAATTTCTTCACGACGGAGGCATGAAACGAAACGAACGAACGAAGGACGACCGGGTTCCAAAACAATACTGTTGAACCAGCACCCACGATCAGCCTGCTATATAGGCGGCAAGGGAGCGTTCACACGCGACGGAACAATCGGTTTCACTCGGCGGATCTTGCGAGCAGCGAAAGTACGTCTGGCTCTTTTCATTTCGTACCGAGAGATCGAGGGAGATCCCTCGATACACCGGATGCACCCGAGCAGGCCAATTTCGAGGGGACGAGGAAGAGCGAATCTCGTTAGACTGTCAGAACGTCGGTTCGGGAAGCAACAGGGAGAAATTCTGTCACGAACGACGAGTAAAACCACAAAGAATGACGACATTCCGCGACACAGTTCGACAAAGTTACAGAGATAATGGAAGAAAGCAGTGGTGGCAAGTAAATATTCGTGTTAACGCGATTATGCTTGATTAGCGCGTTTAGAGCGTTGCGCGGGATGACACGATCTACGACGAAGGAGAAGGGAAAAGTGTGCAACATGGTAACGTGACGAACGTTGGTTTTCGTATAAAATTATATTTATTTATAAATAGTTTGATAAATTACATGGCAACCCCGGGAAGGGGGATAATATAAATAATCATTGGATGAAATCTGGTAGCCCTGTACAGGTACTGACGAGTCCGAGCGCGTTCGACCCGGGTTCTGCGATCGAGGTTGCTTCGAAGCCCCCTGAATAAATAGCACAACGAGCTGCGTCGAGGATGACTCGACCATCACCGTTCACTGTTCCTGGTAAACTTGTTCTGTCTGCTTCAACTTGCTGCTTGCAATCACCGCTCGCAATCGTAATCCTGCGGTGAATCGTTCGGACACCAGAGATATACTAACAACGTGTCTCTGACAGTCTGGTCGATCGTCAATCGTCACAGTTCGTCACGTTTCGGTCACTGGTCACGTACAATGATACGATGGTCTCTCTCGACGAAACGTTTGCTTCGGTCGATGGTGATTCGGTTGATGGTGATTCGGTCGGGCGGAACGTTCGGTCAGGTCGATCGCACACGAGTTTCCGAAGTGTTCGAGGGGTCGAGTCGCGCAGCCCTCGGGTGATCGCCAGCGGCTGAACGATCACTTTGGCGAACGAAGGTAGTGAGTTGAAACGAAGAGACTATGGCGACGAGCCAACTACTCGGAAGGTTTGTACGCGTTGTACGCGAGGTCAGACCCTCCTGATCTCGCCCATCCGTGGTGATCGTGGTGTTCTTCGTGGCCGTACGAGTGCACTGGATGAGCCACTACCTCGTAGCTTTGATGTTTGTTGGCGAGAAGCTTCTGAAGACCGACGATCGCGCTGATGATGAGGGCGATTTTGCCGATTGCGAGAGCCTTGAACGCTAGGAGAGCCAAACCACCGAGAGCGATAGGGATCAGTGCCGCGGCTTTCAGTTTCAAGAGCAACAGGATCGGCAGCAGAGATTTCACGATCTTCTTTTTCTTTCCTCGAGCTACGATCAAATAAAGAAGATCAGATCGATGAATTAGATACACGACAAATGATATCATCCTATGGATAATGCCTTACCTTCGTCGAAGGAGCGAGAGACCTCATCGGGAAGACTCAGTTCGACCGTGTGAGTGGAGAGGAACTTGGCAGTTCTGTCGAAGATGGCTTGATCAATGACAGCTTCCTTGGCTTCCGCTTCGGCTGGCAGGGTACTTTCGATGTCGTTCAAGGATCTAGCGTTGTCCGCACGACTGGAAAGTAAAATTCTTACGTAAATTGGATCACGAATCGATCCGCTAGTTGCTTTATTTATTTTTATTCGCCCGTCCGTTCACTTTCTCACTTTCAGAATGAATCTTACCTGTTCTTAGCTTCTTCGGTTTGCACGATCTTGAAACCATCCGCGATATCGATGTTCGCGGATCTGGCCACCCTGTCGACGAGACGCAGCGCCTGCAGCTTCAGGCACGTGGATATCTCCTCTTGGCCGGTGCATGTCGCGTACACGTCCAAGGCTTCCTCCAAGATGGACGACGGTTGGCTAACGTCTTGACCTGCGGGGGCGGCTAGCACCGAGCTAGAGGCGAGAACTGCGGCGATTAACACGAACTTAAACATCTTCGGCGATCGTATACTCCGGAGTCACCAGGCGAAAAATCCCTCAAAAAATTGCGTTGTCGTATATATACTGATCCTTTCACAAATGTGCACAGCTGGAACTACTGCGGCGATCGTATCGGCACTGACCGAAAGAATCACGATTGCTGCCTTTTATCCTCGTCGCGAAAGGGGCCCGCGTACGTTTTTGAAATTTTGATGGCCCCCACCGACCTGGTCCCCGCCTGGGTTACAACCCGTACGAGCTATTGGTTCTCCTCCAGGCGGTCGTCGTTGGTGTGCGTTTCCCTGTCTCACGCGCGCGTCTCTCCCGTTAACGCACCTCCGCGTGCTCGCTCGCTCGATCCTTCTCGCTTCTTTCCTCTCCGTGGCTGTGGCAAGCCCGAGCCAGCCCTGACACTCCCTGCACACACGTGCGTTCGCCCATCGGACGGCTGGTCATTGGGAATTAGGGAGAAAAAGAGAGAGAGGAAATTGTGGAGAGAAGTTCGTCCACGCGTCTCTCAGCCCTTTCCCAGCAAACTCGAGAGCATCTTGTCTCTGAATTGAAGCCTCCTCTCTGGTCTCTCGACAGAAAGTTCTTAGAACTATTAGACACTGTCGATGAAGGTGAGATTGTGGTTTGAATCATTTGGGGAGTAAACCGGTCGATTGTATTGATTGAGTTTTGTTGGTAATTGGTTTGGCACATTCTAAGACTGTCTTGAATATTTAAGCAAATCGATTCGAAACGTGATAACGTCTTCTGTAAACGGCGAAAGGTTCGTAGAATTTGGTTACTTTCTCGTTCCAGTTCTCGTACTGGTATTTGTTTCTGGAGAGAAACGAACAAGGTGTATTTAGAAATCGAATATTCAGGGTCAATGATATTCACGGGGAATCGCTGATGCTGAGAACTCGTGTCTCTGCAAATATACCATAAAAATCGTTTTACTTTTCCCATGGGACGTTTCGCTGTACACACCTGTCGGTGTCTTCGTACAATTGCGTACAGCTTCGAAATCGGTCCAAACTTCATTCTCACCTGTAATTAACTCTCTCGCGCACAACAGCTCGTAAAACAACTTTCCGCCAAGCTTAACAACAAATTGTAAAACGATCCGCGATGTTTTTCGGTCGGCAAGCGGGGAAGAAACGGGAAAACGGATCGAGCGATAACCGCGACGATTTCACTTTCAACAAGCCGTGTATATAATATCTCGCGTTATACTAGAAGATACTTGGATCTCACGCCTCCGCAACTTTCCTCGCAGCGACCTCCTATCGTACGCGAATCGAACGCTCCCAGCCCGCGAATTCTTCTTTCTATCTACTTGATATTCCATCGTCCTATTTCGTTTCGTCGTGCAAACGGAATCTCGATGGGATTTTTCTCCCATCTAACTGTAATTTATAATTAAAGCCCGCATTCCTGGTTGGATTTCTCTGACGCTCTGAGCCGAGCGTCTCATTCATCCGAACCGTGCGTCGATAGCGACGCGACAGGTTAAGATCAAACTATTTGAAATTAATGTATTCGTGCGACAGTCGCACGCCGAACGGTTTAACGGTTTTTCGTGGAATGTTCGTAGTGCGTGGACGAGTTGGGACCGCGCCAGACCTCCTCAAGGAGAACAAGCGGCCGCGCCTCGGCGTGACCCCGAAGACGCCTAGAAAAATGTATATATGTACGAAGAAGGAAAAGGATGAGAGGGCAGAAGAGTCGTTTCCGATCGACGCGAACGTGGTCTTGGATCGTCGCGACTTTCTCCGCGGACGAGCTTCCTTGCTTCGAATTCCTCGATTCCACGCTGCCACCTTTATTTACGGCTTAATTCCGTGAGGAAATTTTTTTTTTTTTTTCTTTAACTTACTTCTTAACAGAAAGTAATCTAAGTAAGGTAAAGTCTTTTTATTTTTCCAAATAACGTTTCGTAAAGATTGAATGCATTTCATTCTTTTGATGTTTTAGTCTGATTTCATTCGCCTCATAGATTACATGAACAGAAGCCAATAAGTATAAATCATTTTCTATTCTACAAATATTCTTTCGTTGTCGGAACTGTCAGTCGATGAAGCAGTTTAGCTGCAGTACTGTAATAATTAATGAAAAGATATTTGCGTAACCGAAATTGCTTTCAATGAGGAATTAGGATTTACTTCTGAGCCTTTCATATAATAAATATGCGTCGAAAATTTATGTTCAGACTCACCTACAGGGTGAGTTCTATACTCACACGTCAGATATAAACACTACTTAAAATATTCTAACGTTAACAACTGAGTAATTATACATTCTAACATAATCGTCGTTCAAGAACCTAGTCATCACGAACGAGTTGTGCGATTTTCCACTCTGTGAAGCGAAAGTGCGCGCAAACATCACGTGCGTCAATAGATGCAACGAGAAAACTCATCAGACTCTAAATAAGGTGGAATTACAATACATCCTCTCAATAAAAAACTTTCACTTTATCTTTCATCGCTGGCCCATAACGTCGGTCAATTTCGGTTCTTTCTTAAAGTAAAAGTTTTGATCATTGAGCGAGTAAATTAAACGACCGACGAGTCGCACGACTCGTGAACGAGTGTAATATCTTGCCGAAGTTATTATTAGCGATTCGTGCGACTGTGGAGTAAATATTCTCGACGAAATGGCTAATTCCAATGGGAGAACAAGACGGCTGCGAGTTGAGCAGCGGCTGGTAATGGAACACTTTCCTCTCGACGACGCCGGGCGAGAGTGAACTCGCCCGAGGATCGAGGTCAGGTCAAGGCTCCCACGAAGCGACGCTTCGAACTTCTCGTTCTTCTCTCTTTCTCCCTCGTTCTCCCTTCTTCTCTCGTACAGCAGTATGAATGCAGAAAATACCGATCCCTCCGTTACACGGAACACGATTCCTCGCGTTTAAATCTTTACACTAGAATTTCTCTGATTGAAACAATCAGACGGTTGATCGTAGAGAAATTGACGAATTTAGTTTGTAGGAAAAAGTTTTTAAAGGAAAAAGTTTAAAGGAAAAAGTTTCAATGCGTACGATCAATTGTTGATGAGTTTTACGATGTGTTGGTTAATGAATCTGTTAATTATTTCTTTTTTTCTCTGGGCAAGGGAGAGAATTAAATCGACAATCTGTCGCGGTAATATAGCTTCTTGATCACCGTGACACTCGAGTCAGATGATCATCGAGCTTAATTTCAGTCTATGAATGAACTACTCCGAGGAAGAAAAAGTAGTACACGATGGAGAATCGGAGACGCGTCTGGCACGGATGAATGAACGCGATTCATGCGTATCTGATCCGCAGACTCTGATTCGCGCGTTTTGCTCACACTTGCCAATAGCCGAAAAAAAGAAAGACAACTTTCCATACACATATACGCGTCTGCGTGAATGAGCTTTCGCTTCTCTCTTTTTACATTCGTGTTTTTTTTTTTTTTGTGATCAGTGTATATTAATATCACGATGGAGATTATAACGGAGAGAAAGAGAGTAACAATTTCAATTGCCAGTCGTTATTCGTTCCACTTTCCATGATATTTTTGACGAATCATAATTTTAACACTCTGATCCATTCTTTGGCAATTTCGTATTAATGTTCAAGCATGAACACAGTAAAAACAAGAAAAGAAATTGAATTATAAGACGTAGGTATTCATTCTGCTTTATTTACTTTTAAAAAATACTTGGTCAATGGATTGATAGGAAGAACTCGAGTCATAATTCATATTCGATATCGATTCAATATACTTGCAATAGTAATTGTTTTATCTATGGATTGTAATTAATTCCAAGATTCAAAGACCAAAGATTCCACTTCAGTTTTTTGTCTCAAAATTCAAAAGAATTCCAAGCATCCTGAAGCTCGTTCGTTTCACTTCCAACACCATTTCAATTACACAAATTGTAACCTGACAAATTTTAATACCATTACAACGTGTTGGGGGAGATCCAATTCCAATAACTCTAATAATACTAAGTACCAAAGATCCTACTTCCATCTTCAAATCCTCAAATTCAAATACAATCAATAAAAAGAAAAAAAAAAGCCAACTCTACATTCGTCTATCAGTCTCGATACTATTCCCGAGCGAATGATAATTCTCACTCGTCCAGCAGCAAATACAGCTAATCCATTCTTGGCCAGTTCCATTAACGAAATCTCGTGAAACACGTGCACGATGAGATGTGTGCGCGGCATGTGTGGATATGGGAAAAAGGAGGTGAATGATTTCGTGGACTCTCGGCACGACTTTCGGAAGTGTCGAAAAGGGCCGAGGCCTCGGATCTCTCGGAACGGAACCACCTGACCCGAGATGTGTTTGAGGATCGATGAACCTCGCCGTCATAAGGCGAAGGAGGAGGGAGAGATCGATCGACCGTTGGATAGGAGGGGACCCAGGGAGAAAGAGAGACGCAGCTTTTTCTTCGGAACGGTGGAGAGTGTTAGACTCTCAGGTTGAAAAGGATCGGCTTGACTCGGCTCGGCGCGGATGCTGACTGGCCTGGTCGGCCTGCTCGGCCTGGTTTACTTCTCGATTTTGTGTGTGTGTGTGCCTCGATCGCGCGCGCATGTGCTCGTACGCAAGGCTTCCAGGTCCGAGGCAAGTGCGTAATGCGCGTTTCCAGTATGTAGGTGACTCTCGCGTCTTTGCTCTCTTCTCTGGCTCTGTCGAGCTGTGGCTCGATCGCCGCGCGATAGAGGAAAAAGGCGGAAGTAAGGACGCTTTCCTGGCCTGTATCGAATGACGCGAAACGCACCGGACAATATCACCGGCCATATCGCGGTTCGTTTCGTCGAACAGTACTTACTTTCGATGAGCGTTGGAATTCGTACGCGGATTTTATCGAGCCCCGCTCGAACTTCGCACCCACGTTGCCATCGAGTTGCTTCTCGAGCACCTTCCCCGAGATGCGATTCGATCGATTATCCGATTGTCCGATTTAATTAGATCAAGGTGATTTGCTTGGACGACACGGATATACAAAAGGTGTAAAGAACAAGTTGATCGGTGGTACAAACAAAAAGTCAATCTTAATATATTTTCATATTTATAAATATACACGGCTGCCTGGCAGCTCCGTACAAAACAATAAATACTGTGAATGAAACGATCGTTTAGGGTAGGAGTGGGGATTTGGGGTGTGGAGAGGGGAAGAGAAGACAGGGCGACAAAGGACGAAAGAAAGAAAGTAGAATGGAGCGGAACGAGGAGGAGGAAGAAGTCGAGGAAAATGCGAAGATGAGAAAGGTGAACGGTCGAGGAGGAAAGCGACGTTCGCGGCGAGAATCACGCGGATGCGCCTCGTGAAAGCGAACTCTCTAACGAGATTGAAAATACGTCTCGCTGCTGTTCTATTGTTGTTTCCTAAGTAGACGACGGCTTGTAGGCGGAATAGGCGAGATCGTGACTGGATCTCGCCCATCCGCTGGATCCGTGGCCCCCGGCCACTTGAACGACTTCGTGTCCGTGGTCCCCACCGCCCGAGACCAACTTCTTCAAGCCGATAATAGAGGCCAACACCAGAGCGAGTTTGCTGACGATCAGGGCCTTGCCAGCTAGAAGAGCCAACGCTCCCAAGGCCAGTGGTACCAGGGTTCCACCGATCAACAGGGGAATAGCGAGCAAACCTCCCATGTTCTTTTTCTTCTTGCGACCTGGATTTTCCGGGGGAAAATAAACAAAACACGATTAAACGAATTTAAAGCGGTTGGTATCGGAATTAGGCTGAATAATTATTTCCTATACAAAAAAGGGAAACAATCGCGGCGAGTTCGTTCCAGAGTCTGCCGAGAGGAAAATAGTGGGCCATACGGCCTACCAGACCGGGAAATCGGAACCGGAAACTTTCTTTTCTCGGATGATCGCTCTGAACGAATTGACACGAATTTGCAATGTCTCGTGTCACGGGACAATTAGATAGAAATTCTCTGTTACCTTCCTCTACCAAACTTCGTTGAAGTTCCTCCACGTTGGACAGCTTCAGTTTCAACGTGTGGCTTTGGAAGAATTTCATCACTCGGTCAAAGATCATGGTGTTGAGCGCGTCCTCCTTGTCGTCCAGAGCTCTAGGTAAACCAGCCTCGATCTCTTGAAGGGACTTTGGAGGTTCGTCCGCGCTCGAGATCGGGTCGTCTTGGACGAAGGTAACTCCATCGGCGATGTTCAACTGAGCGCTCCTGGATACCCTGTCTATCGCAGACAGTAGTCTTACTTTCAAGCAAGAACTAAGATCCTCGTCCGCGCACTCCTTGTAAATCTGATACATCTGTCGAAGGTCTCCAAACACGTTGCTGTTCCCTGTGGACCTGGCAGTCTCCTCGTTGATGGAGTTACTCGTGGGATTGGTCTCGGCCGACCTCGCCGAAGCCACGGCCAACAGAATGGCCATGTACACGGAACAGTGCGCCAGGCGTTTCATCTTGCAGCGAATCTGAAAATAGAACCAATAATCTCCGTGATACTCTCCACGAATAGAATCCTTCCGATCGCCAAGTCTCCGTCTCTCTGTGTTACCCACCAAAAGGGAAATCTATAGAGAAACTGTACGCGAGTAGAAACTAAACGATACTACTTCTCTCTGCTGTACTACTCGTTGCTCGATATTTCGAGAACAAGCTCGTCGAAGCTTGTCGGGGCCACCGGTTTGTCGAGTCGTTTGACACTTTGGGCCGCGTGAGATGCGTGCTTACGCAGAGCACTGTAACTGGACTGTCGGTAACGGAAGCCCTGCCCTAGCTCTATATATCTGGTCAAGTGTACCTCCGTGGCCGGTGATATTCTCCCCACCGTTGCGCCGCGACGCGTACGAATACCACCATTGTGGGAGAATTTTCATTGCCAAGGAGATTACTCGAGAGCAGAGACCGCGTCTCGCTGACCACCTGGGGACCATCGCCATCGCCATCGGTAGAGAGCAGAGTTCCTCTCCGGATCAGCCCGGAATTCGCATCCATCCCTCCACTCCTACTTACCACCGATCCAGCCCCACCAGCTTGCCACCGATAAAACCGATGATTCCGGCGAATTGTTTCGCTACTCTACACCGGATCGCTCTTGTCGCTCGACTTCTTCCGCCCAACCGGCGGAAACTAAACCGTTTCTCGTCGGAAGATTCTCTCCCGTCTGGCGAACCACGTGCACACGCGTCTTCGAATGTCCTTCTGCCTAACGCGATCGGGTTATCGTTGCGTTTCGATAAATCTGAAATCGAAAGCGTCGCAACGGAGAGACGAAGGTTGGATCGACGACTCGATCCGACGTGTCTGATTAACCAAATCACGACGTTTGTTCGAACGTTGTAATCACGTTCTCTCTCTCTCTCTCTCTCTCTTTTGTTTCTTTCTCCCTGTTTGGCGACAAAAACAGCCGTATCGCGCGTTACGGAAACACGACGAACGTGTATTCCACATTTATGACACGAATGAAAATAGAAACGAAGAAATTCGTGTTAATTAACGCGAACCGTTAGCCAATGCCGGCGTATCAGCGCCGTCCCGGTTAGAGTGCCTCGACGCGGCGCTTTTCCCTCTTATCCTGGCAATGCACTACGCATCCTTGCCATTTTCGTCCTGGCGGATGGCGGCGCGGCGAGGTCTGTTAAACTAGGTCGCGCCAAGTGAAAACGCGTTGCACGTAGACACGCGTAGGCTACCGCGTACTTCGGAGGGGATATCGTTCGCTCGACAACGGTGGTCGGGTTCACGAGCGCAGTGAAGCGTCGAAAAGCAGCCAGCTGAAATTTCGGTGGGGAACTGGCCCTGTTCCGCACGGCGATTTCTTCTCGTTCCATTCCACCTGCCCACCTTCCTCTCCCACGCTCCGCACTACTCCTTTTGACTCGATGATTCGACGAATCTCGCGAACGAGGTAATGGAAATCATTCGTAGACATAACGAGGACACTGACGAAGCGTAAAGAAACGACGAAATCTCCAATTTTCGGCCGGAAATGATCGATACACGGTGTCTGCATGCGTCGCACGCGAAAAAAAAAAATGACTCGGACGACGAGGCGAAAATTGAGGTGTCGCGAGAGCGCTGCTTTGACACCAGCGGGAACCACGATTTGGTTTCCGGTTGAACGAGTCGCAAGCAAGCACGGACACCGAGCCGATGATTTTCTGCATCGCAGTCCTCCCTGATGATACCCCGTATCACGCGTCACTTGCTCGCCAATGGGACCGTCGCGTTCACTCGCGCTGGCCTTGCTCCGACGCACACGGTCCACGCGTTCGCCTCTCATTATACGGTCGGTATGCAGGTTACCAGTTGGAAGTTCGCGGTGCATCCGGTTTCGCTTGGCCATTGCGGACCAATCCATGCGGTAGTAATGAGGGTGTTTTGGAGAGAAACAGAGGCAAACTTCACGAGCCATTGAACGATTGTTGGACGTAGCTGGGTCAGTAGCGATACGGACGAGCGGACGTCAATCATTTAGCGGCGTTTTGCATTATTTACCACGGAATTCCGCGGTAGCAGCCATATTGTAACTTGCCTGTTATTTGCTATTAGACAAATGGAACGTCTCGTCGATCGATCGATGGGTCACGCCGGAGAAACTTCCGAGTTTGTTCTCTCTTTCTTTTTTTCCTTCGAAAAAAAAATCGAACACATTTGGATTGCACGCGAGTAAGTACTTTCTATATAATACTTAACCGGAATCCCTCATAGTGGCTCGCGTTCGTATCTGGCAGCTGCAGGGTATCAATGAATGCATCGTCGCGTTCCTATACTACTTTCACTCGTTTTCATAAATACGAAATACAGGCGAGAATCTCGTAACGTTCGCGCCAAGAGATCGCGTCTCCAGGATCCAAGTGCGATCGGAGTGCAAGTGCCAAAGCTCAAGGAATAGTATAGACGGATGTAGTAAAACGTTCTTCGCATTCTCACACTCACGTATGTTGCGTTTTTCTTTGGGACAAGACGCTGCGCGCCGTTCGCCATCTCTTTATTACAAAGAACAAATGCAGGCAGTAACAAATAGCACACGATCGAATGCATGAAATTAAATAAATACTAGGTCGTGTTATAGGCGCAATGAATAAATAACAGAGGCTCGAGTTACGCTATACATACACAGAACGAGTATCTCGCGAAGGTACTGGTTCGTCGTAGAAATAGAAGAAAATAGTAATAACAAAAAAAGAAAAAAAAAACAGAGAATTCCAAAGAATTTCCAGGAAAGGCTAAGAGAGGACAGGGGAAATAACATACGGAAATGTTCAAGTGACGAGAGTAGGAACAATAAATACGTATAAAACAGGGAGCGCTGGGATCGTGATGAAAAGGCAAGAAGAGGGAAGAGAAACGAAAGAGGAAACGAAAGGAAAGAGTTGTTCAAAGAGGACCGTTAAAGGAGAAAAGTGAGGAAACTTTCTACGAGATTGTTCATGCTTGTGTCTGAGGTTGATGAGCGCGGTAGGCCAGTTCGTGAGCATCTTGAGGTAAACTTCTGGCCCAACCGTGGCCACTGCTTCCGGAGTAACCGCCATAGTCAGCGCTACCGCCACCATAGCCGCCGCCGCCGCCACCGTGGCTGTCGTCGTGGCTGACGATGTGGCTGCTGCTGTGATGGGGGTGCGACACGACCTCGTACGTCACGTGTTTCCCGCTCGAGCTGAGCAGCTTCTTCAGCCCGATAATGGCGGAAATGACGAGGGCGATCTTGCCGACGAGAAGAGCCTTGCCAGCGATGGCGGCGATCGCGCCGAGGGCCAAGGGTAACAGGGCTGCGGCCTTCAAGGCCAAGGCCATCATCAGCGGGCCGAGGATCTTTTGCGCCTTCTCTGTAATGGAATTCGACGATCGTAACGGTAACGTGGAATCTTTTTTTGTGGGTTAATGTTTCTTTCTGTCTCTCTCTCTCTCTCTCTTTGCTCAAAACAATCGAAGGAATCTTAAATAAAGAGAGAATCCTCAATTCCTCGCCATCGACAGATTTCTGTTCTAAAAAGCTAGAGGAATTTCCAGTTTTCCTCTAGGTCTTTGGGTAACAGGCTTAAAATTCTGGAACCCAATAGGCTCGTGGATAAACGGTTCGCGGAGGCGGTCACCGTTTTATTGGCAATTTTCCGGTCAACTGCCCGCGAAGACGAGACTCAACGTAGCGTGACTACGATTTCTCGTCGATCGCTACGACGTACAATGTACTCGGCAAGCCGAGCGAGCGTTCTTACAGATACGTTACAGTACACGGCGTTTGAATAACTTTGAAAACTTCCCACGAGGAGAGACTGCGAGAGATTTCTCAGAGGCACGCGACCCGACCTTTCTCAGGACGATACGCGCCAAGAGATCTCGAAGTGGAATAGGCGAAGGTCAAGGCGACGTACCCCGCGCGCGAAGGAAAGTATGTCAAAAATCTCGCGCGGTGAGATCTCGAGAGGCCTGCTGCCTATCTTTCTCTCTGTGTTCGCTCGCTCCTGGGTAATCGCCTCTTGGTCGCTGGTGCCGCTTCAAGGGGAAGCGGAACCAGTTCCTCAGTGGGTCAACGTCTCGCGACCAGCTTCCTTGGCATCGTCGTTAACGTTGTCGCTAAATAACGCCGACAACGAGCCTTGGGAGCTAGGCACGACGTTATTGGCTCCAACATCGAGCGAATCTCGGCTACCTATTCATTCGGTCGTGTTAATTAGTTGAGAGCCAATTAGCCTATTGTTCGGATCCAAGTGCTGATCAAAGTACTCGATGAAGCTTACTCAGAGTCTGGTAATTAGAAGTAGATGGAACGAAAGAAGAAACGCGTAGAGTTTATAGAAGAATTCTGTCGTAAAGTAAACTTTGCCAGCTGTTTCAACTGGAACGTTTCAAGCGAACGTTTTCGAACGTCTTTTATTGGTTAGTTGAATTTATACTCACTCTTCTTGCCACGACTTTCGACAGCGTTGTCGGTGAAGTCCTCGAAACTTCGACCGGCAGACTCAATGGCACCGAGGATATCGGTTCCCTTGAGGTCAACTTTAACAGTGTGCGTCTTCAGGAACCTGCCCAGACGGTCGAACAAAAGGGTATCCAAATCGCTAGACTCGATTGATCTGCAAGGACACGTTGATCGATTAAAATCAATTAATACGTGGAACATGCTCGATAGAAGTACATTCATATATATATTTTTCCCCTCCTAAAAATGAAACGCAGAATCAAATCAAATTAACAATTAAATTTACGATATTTTCGACTCTATTTATCTGGCATTATTTTGGCGAAAGAGGACCGACCTAGGTGCACCTTCCTCGGCATTCGACGTCTTGACCACAGTAATGCCGTCTGTGAGCGTGATATCTTCCTTATCAGCGAGCATCTTGTCCACGTACGAGAATACCTTGTACTTGATGCAGTTGATCGACTCCTTCTTCAAACAGTCGCTGTATATGGTCGCCATTAGGTCGTTTTCATTTCCAGACTTGTCGTTGGCTGGCAGAGCCGTTGCCAGCACCGGAAGCAGCCACAGAATGGTCACAAAGTACTTGCTCATGTTTCCCGGAATACTCGAGATCGAGATCCGATCGACGAGAAATGCAAATATTTAAAAAAAAAAAAAAAAGAAGACAGAACAAAAGAGGGAAACGAACCACCACCGTCTGCGTCTACGACGAGAGAGTTCAGAACGACGAGGACGAAGAAAAATTGTCGTGCGTTATCCTCGAGACGATCGCGCGGTGATCTGTCACAGCCGATTCACGGTTGGAGAGGACGCCAGGACGAGCGTCGATCGAACTTCGTGTGTTACATCCAAAAGAGGTTGCTTTGCTTTTATACCGAAGTATCGCACGAGGGGAGACCTCGTGGGCACGGGCCACCGAGAGTTCGCGTTCGCGTTCGCTTACCACTGGCTGTCTCTTTCTTTCTCCTTGCTTGCAATCCCCCCTTATATCCTCCCTGCTCGCGTCTCCTCGCCCCTCTCTCCTATCCCTCTCTTCGGACTCGAGTCCTCGGAGGCCTCTCTACGAGGCCCTCCTTCCCCCTTTGTCATCCCTCTCCTCGCGTGCGAATCTCATTATTTCGGCAAGATAAAAAAAAAAAGAGTCCTCTCTAAACTCGGGAGGAAGAACACAGAGAGAGAGAGAGAGAGAAAGAGAGAGAAAGAGAGAGAGGAATATGCAAGATCAGGATACACGCGGAGCGACTGCAGGAAAATTGGAGAAGGACGCACTTGCATTTTCCTTCTCGTCGTTCTCCATCCATCTGTCGTGAATTTTGCTCCTTCCTCCTCCTCCTCCTCCTCTTCTTTTTCTTCTTCTTCTTACCGCCCGTAGCAGACCTACTTCGGCCTCCATTAAGGTCCGAGTGATAGAAGGGAGGGCTTCCTCCTCGATGGAATGGAGATTCAACGAGGGAAATCTACGCGGCGGTGATCGTGGGGAACAAGCGTACACGGCGGCTCCCTTGTGATTTCTCGCACGACTTCACGTGTCTCTCTCTCTTCGCCGATCCCGTCCGATCGCGTCTATTATTACTAGCGCGATACCGATGCTCGTTCACCGTGCATCCAGTCCCTTTTTCGCGTGCGACAGCACACGCTTAGCAAATACACGGTTGACAGCGAGAATCGAAATCGTGACGAGGGGACAAGGACGTTTCTCCTTCGCTCCTCTGCGTGATTTTCTCCGGATGCATCGGAGGATGCACGCGCATGAGACTTCCCCGTCGAACGACCCATTTCGACTTAGCGTGGCTTTACGCTACGAGTAGATTAACCAAGTTGTCACGCAGAAATTCGAAGGTGTCACACTCTGCTGGAATAGTATGACACTGTTTCCGCGTTGGAGCTGCCTAGACCGGTCCTGGGCCGCTTACAGTTATACGAGATTTAACGTCCGAGATTGAATTCTTTCCTCGGATGACGATCTTACGTTTGGGTGCTCTTTGACCGTTACTCGAGGCCCTGCACATGCAGCCTGTATTTAAGTGATCCTAAATTACGAATTACGAGCGGTATCGCTCCCGCGAGGAAAATCACGCGCGTGTTTCGTCATCGTTCGCCACGCATCCTGGAGTAAAAAAAAGCATCAAAACAACTCTAATGGTAGAGGATCGTTAATTGCATCCATCGGATGGACGAGGTTGATACGGATGGAGCATCGAAAAATTCATCGGCGGATGATGGACGCGAGATATTATCTCGGGAACGGGGTCGCTCACCCATTTACAACTGGGTCGAGTAGCCGGGCGTTCGTTTCGGCTGCTTCGTCTCCCTCTGTCTCTCTCTCTCTCTCTCTTTCTTTCTTTCTTTCTCTCTCTCTCGATGTTCTTTCGGCACACCTGTCTTCATCTCGCCTCCTCAGGTTCATGTTCCCCTGTTCCCCTCTGGAGAGACGTTCTTCATTCGTCCGGCCGGTTTCGAGGATCAAGATCTCCGGCTGGTCCTCGAAAGCGAACATCGCCCCAGGCGGAATCATCCACCTGACGCAGCGACGTTCCCGACGTTTCTGCGCGCTTGTGAACAAAAGCTCGGCGAGTGACCACCCTGGAACACGAATCGAAATTGTGAAAACGGAGAAACGTACGCGGTGTGGAAGGCAGCAGATGCGGAGAACGGTTTCTAGCAGTGGAAGTCACGGTATCGAGGACGTTATGGTTAGAGAACGCGGGAATCAAAGGTCAAGAGCCCGTGTGTGAGAGAGTAGCCAACGAGAGACCCAGCACACTTTCAGCCGATCAGAAAGCTGTCGAGTGTCGAAACGAGCAACGAACCATTCCCATTGAAAGTTTCGAGCGATTTCGAGATTCGGCGAGAGACGCGAATGAGACGAAGAGTGTAGTTTGACGAAGAATTAGAATTAGAATTAAGTTGAAGCCACTTCTCGTGGATCGTGCTCGTAATTAGACGCGGACGAAATGCAGACGAGAGGTCTGAAATGACGATCCCGACGAGAGCGAGCGGAGCCGCGGGAAAGAGTAACGGGTCAGCTGGCAATTGTTGTTTCGAAATTCACGGCGAAGTTCAAGGTGTTGCGTGCCAACGCTGCTCGATCGAACGCACACGCGAGGCGAGATGGCGTGCCGTCGATCGACATCCACGGGAAATTGGAATTTTAATGTCGTTTCTTTCGTTTTCTTTTTCGTTGTCTTCCTTTTGTAAATCAGAGTACGTAAAAACCTGAAAAATCTAAGAAGAAGAAAAAACTCGTAGGATAATTACATGGGACGTTTGTTACGATTTCCCTTATTTACGTCGATTCTTGTTCCTGAGTCGATTCTCTCGGCGTGGAATTATCCTAAAGCGAAGAAACGATGTTCGAAGTTACGGACGATAAAGCAACGCTCGCTGCTCACGAACAGCGAGGAATACGTTATCTTTTATTCTCGTAGTGGAGGCTACTGAAAATCGAACATCGAAACTTTCCAATTTCCAGTGAATCTGTCGGGAACAGACTCCGCGCCATGGTTGTTCATGACGATACGATGGAATCGGTGTCGCGCGCTTCTATCGAAGCTAGCGCTAGCGATTCGAATCACGACGATCGAGCACTGTCGATGTCGATGAACATCTGTCGGCGCTTAACGCTGGTCGCCACGCGGCTAATAATAAGGCACTAGGAAATCCACGAGCGGCCAAAGAGGATCCAGTAACCCAGTGACGCATGAGAACCCGGTGGCGAGGCTAATCGTGACGTGAGAACCGTACCGAGATTTAGATACGTACGAGCAAAGCCGAGATTCGTTCGGCTCCGCCATTTCACGACTCTCTAATAACGAGATAGAACGAAGTTCTCGCGTTACTTCAGCGCGAGGTGAAATTCCGCTTTTGTGATACTCGAAAGAAAGCCTCTATTCATCAGCTGGCAGATCCGTGACGCGCGCAGAGCACAGCGTCAATTTTCGTTGCGATTCATTCTTTCGTTCGTTTCCTTGCTAGTTGTTGGATCGTTGGACCATCCTTTCTTTTTCTCGTTCTGACTTTTCCATCCGTGTTTGCTCGACGACCGAAAAAATTGCACGAGTTATGAAAGCAAGCGCACGTCAACAAAAATATTCCATTTTCAGTGTATTTTCACGGGACAGTAATGGAGAGACGCGGCAGTTTCAGAGATTGAAACGGGTTTCACAAACTCGATAATGCTTCAACGAATATGACAGGATAATTGACGTTGCTGCTTCAACGCTCGGTTTCATTGTGCGTGGTTAGGTTAGGAAGAGAGGTACAGCAGGCTGAATGAAATAAAAGACAAGTTGCCTCGACACCGCGTCACGATTAATGCACCGTGTCTCTACCCGCGTGACTTCGCCACCAACGAAAGTCTCCTCTTCCTTTCAAAATAATTTCGCATCTCTTTTTCCTCGGGATCCCTCGCGATCCTGCCGCGGTACAGCCAGACGTAACGAGCCGTGACACTTGCGTTCTTGCTCTCCCGATTCGTTTCACCTTCGTTCTATCAAGCGGTTCCGCTTTTTGGTATCGTTCTCGCCGATTTATATCAATCGCTGCCCAATTTTTTCCCCCCTGATGAATGCTCGGTGGAAATTTACTTGAAACGTTTAAAAGTAACAAATGAAGGAACAAAGAAATGTTTATTCGAAACATTGTTTTTTAAATCTATTATTCAAGGAAAATAATTTTCCATCTATTTCTATCTTTCTATCTTTTTAATTGTGTCAAAGAAATTATTGAAGATACAAGATGTAAATCTTGACGCTGAAATACTTAATGAATAAAACAAATTTCTTCTTCGACTGTCATTATTATTAATCGCCGACATTAACCCCAATTAAAAACTTTAACAGAAAGAAACTGTTTTATATATTAGATGACACAGAAATTCTTTTTCATACCGTGTGCATACTTTATACCTCAAAATTTCCTGCAAGTGGATAAAAATCCACAGACTACCTTCAAGACGATATTATAATTTTTTCAAATTTTCGCCCCCCTCCCCTAAATATTACAAGTCTCGGTCGGCATTCAATAACAAATAGGCGGACGTCGCGTGAAAAACTCGAAGCATTACCAAACAATAAAACGTGCGAACGATTCATGGTACGAACCGTGACGGGCTGTTTTACATTCGCACCTCGACGGCGGCTGCGACCACTAATCAGCCTGTGGGTCGCGCGTCGAACGTTGGCCCAGAAAGCGGCGGCAAAAAAGGATTTTTACTGGCGGACCTCGGAGCGAGTTGACCAGCGACGACGGAAGAAACGGCAATTTTGCGTCAACCTCCTTTCCAGCCGCTCATTTTCCTCCTCTATCTGGGACTTAAGGACATCGGTCGCGGAAGATTTAATAGAATGTCCGTCCTCTCGACCCGATTAAGAATGACAAACGCGAGCCTCGGCCTCTCGACCTCCGCGTATGCGTCTCGCGAGCAAGCTGTGGCGTGTCATTGCGGCACGACTTGCTCGACCGGATGTGCACCTTGCCGGTGCACTTTCCCCTCGGTTGTGGTTCGCCGCGGTCGATCATCCGCTGCCATCTGGTATTTCCATCTCGACGTCGAGGCTCGATTTCGAGGCCGACAGCTCTGAAATTTCGCCGGCGAGTAGAGAGAGAGAGAGAGAGAGGAAAAAACAAGACCGTTTCGGAGGTTCCTGGAAGGTTGGAAAGTCGGCGAGTGATTTCTCTTTTCGCCGTGGATCCGGGATGATTTTCGACAACGAGAAAGAAACTCGTTCGACAATTTGATAGACTGCCTCCGCGAGTCTGCCGGAACGATAACTCGACAATCTTTTCTTTTTTTTTTTTTTTTTTAAGGAATGTAGGTGGGCAATCGAAAAAACATCGTCGTGTAATTTTCTAAAAATT